ACAGCATGTATTCATGGCAGTCAATTTGATTTCCCATAGGCACGTTGCAAAGACTGCGGCGCGTTTTGCGGTCTAGACGCCTAGATGTTCGAGACAAGAGAGCTAAAATTTTCATAGGTTACTTTGGCACTTAACTGACAGTGGCAGCTTTCTAGGGAATATCTAACGTTTTAAGCGAAGCGTACTATTTTTAACGTATGCGACGAATGTCATACTGCTTTCAAAGTTCCATGCTATGGTGTAGCGGTGCAAATCGGATATAAATTTGAATCTAATAATGTAATTTGTACAAATTGTGTGCCAAACGTAAAAGGACGGCAAACGAGCAGTCGGATTATCTGCAACAACGAAAGAGTTACGAGTGCGATGCCGACCTTTTGGGGATTTAGGGATTCGGGAAAGGGGAGTGGGATTGGGCCTCCGGTAACCGGCGAAACACAACGCTGAGTTGTTTCACGCCGGTTCTTTGTGAGGCAGTGGTATCAATCAGGTCGAGCCAAACCATTTGAATCGATGCATGGCTCTCTCACACTTAAAATTATGTGGTTATTTATGTGGAACTTAAATACATGAGGTATGTGAGGGTGGTGAAACATACTTTTGGTATACTAACGTAGCATAAAGGCTGTATCTATAAAATCTGTTGTGGAAGCTACATAAATATTTGAAGTCGTTTTCATTTAGTGCAAAACGTATTTTTAGCTCGGAACCCATTCGTGTGACGTAACGCAGTCGTTAAACAATTTGCCATAAATAGCCTGCCGGCAATAAATATATCGTAATTATGTTTTGTACTGCCGCCACGCGACTCCCCGGCATACAACTTTTAATTGCATTTTCATGTTTGTTAAAGGATTACATTTATTATTTACACAACACACTTTTTGGCACCAACAGACGCGGTGTACTGAAATACTGGGTTAACTTTAAAAATCGTTACTTGACAGCCTGCCAATACCAGTTCATATGCTTTGTTTAGGGTCTTACAAAATTAAGAAAGGTTAAGACAAAAAAAAATAGAACATCCAGAAGTTGTTATCTACTGGAGATGACCTTTAGGTATTCCTTTAAATGGAAAACCAATCCATTGTAGCGTTTCATTTCTTTTTCGTAGCAGATCACAAGTAAAACTTTATTCCATGCCAGACTGGTTTTCGTATAAAATATCGAAATTCAGAAATCTTTTATGCTCTAATGACATGGAAAACGCACGGGATGTTGTGAAAGGCTGGCCTTTTGAAAATGGGACAAAATCAATGATCCGAATCTATTTGGAGGAGACACAGTTGCTTTTACATATCTACCCCCTTCATTTGAGCGAGTGGTGGACGAGAGTCATTGGACATCAATGGCCCACATTACGAAGTCATGACGAGGGTACCGCGACGTATTTTTCAATAGGCACACGCTTGATGAACACCATTTAGGACACATCCCTTTTGTGATTAAGGACCACATCGATCGATGTTTTTAAGGCTATCTTACTTGTAAATAAATACTCGCAATTGTAGGACGAGGTTTTAAAACTATGAGCATAGTAAAGTGCCTCACGATTTGGCACATGTCTTGTGAATTTGTACAAGTGTTTACATATTAAAACAGGTTTAATGTTTACGTTCTTTGCATTTCAAGTAAAACTCCTTGTTTGTGAATTATGAATTCACCTGAGATGATGGCTTCATTATTTTCAAGGACAACAGAAAGTAGGGATATGTACATATTACGGTAGAGTATTTTCCGAAATTGGTTTAATAGATATATCTTTAATTTACACACTTAACAAATTTACTCGAATTAATTAGTGTATTTTGGAAAGCATTTGAAGGCATGCTAAAGTTCAAGCCATTATTGATTGTGCAGTGGCAGACAATCAATGTGATAAGCATAGACAAAACATTTAATATTTATAGCCGTCTGTGGTTCTCACTAAGCATAAACTTGACAATGAAGTACGAAACGACATTTTTTGTGATCAAATAAAAGTCTTTATGAACATTTCAAATGAACGGTGTGGGGAAGTTTATTACAGATACTGGTGGTTGATTGTGTACCGGGCATACGATAAAAGACTACGGTACGTTTATGAGCGGGGAAATAATTTGTTTCCTATGCCGCTTCGTATCCGGATTCGCGAATGGGATCCGAGTTTTATTCAATTTCATTGATTTCCATCAATTGCCTTCGCTTCGACATACTGGAAGCGATCATGGATAAAACGATGTTTGCTTTCAGACGAATAAATGGGTTGATTGAGAATCCCGGTCCATGAAATTTTTTTATGATACGACATTTTTTTCTTGATTTCGATCCTTGCTTTGGGCGAAATATTATTACCTAATGCGTTTTATGGAGCCGGAGTTTTTCAGCTCAATATTACAATGGAGGTAGTAGAATGACTGTCTAAAAGTGGAATATCGGTGTGTAACCTTCACTCGAGTGGTAGCCAGGATGACTGAAAATGGCAATTAGTTTAATAAAAACAGTACGTTCGTATATCATTTTATAACCTTCAAAGTTCAAACGCAGTATGAGACAGGTCAAACAAACAATAGATGAGTTTCTGTACTTAGACCGTTAGATGTGCAAATCATACTTTATGTTAAAACTAGTTATTGTAGGTATGTATGTACAAAGAAGAATTAATGTTATTTTCTTTTATAGTGTTTGTTTTTCGCAATTAATGTTAAAGTGAAAAAATCTCCAGTTGAATTTGCTTCATATTTTGGCCAGTTTTTCCGACTTACATTAAACATATTATGGAGAAAACCTTATTACAAAATTATTAAAGGATATGTATAACTAGATACAAATATATACACCCACGTCACAAAACACAAGCAGGTAGACACTTCACGAAATACAATATTTGTGCAAAATCCAATAAAACTTTCAAGTGGTTTCCTCGCAAAACGTTGTTTGTTCGGAAAATAAAGATTTTGTCTAAGGTCGCGTGAAGAGCGACGTAGTTTTTTTTTATATGTTTATGTTTTACGTGCTCACTTATAGGTATATTTTGTCTGTAGGCTGTAGGATGTTTGAGTACCCATTGTAGAAATAATAATTATGGTTGTTTTTATTAGAAGTACGAAATATTAGCAATTTCAACAAACAATAAAATTATGTATGTTTTTGAGCCAAATAAGGTTCAAGTTGCGACTATAAGGTGTAGCTACATCTAGCATCAAGCCCTACGCTTGTTGCGTAAGGATATTGTACTACAATCTCTAATAAAATTTTGGAATTGGACAATTAGGAATACGACGATAATAAAGTTTACACAATAGGAGACGAGGAAAATGACTTAGTCTTTGAACCCAACAATTATTGATGCACGTGTCGTCCAGTGGCATTCGCTCGGAATATATTGATGGCCATTAGTTACGCTGCCTAAGATGTGCGTGAATAATTTAGATCATTAGACGTCACAGACGAAAGAAGTTTCATTGACGACGTTTTGAAATGTTTAGTTGTTTATTTGTTTTTGTTATTGGGTGGCCAGAGTCAATGTGATATCTCTCGGAGTGCCACAAGGCACCGAAACAAGCAAGTCGACTATTTTTTATTGTTATTATTTTTGTATTCATTTCGTGTCATGAAAAGTATTGAACATCATGTGACAGACATCTGGTTTTGTGTGTAGATATGTTGTAAAGAAATGGAATGATAATAAAAAAGAGTTTCTGACGTCGGTTAGGGGAGAAGGGGAAAAGAATACTGTGCCGACCTTAAATGATAGGGTCGATTAAGTGACAAGCACTTTGTATTTCATGGAAGAAGGGTACCACTTGGGTCAGCTGGTTTAAAGGTGAAACTTTTTATCAGTCGAATCATAAACACTAGATTAGACCAAAGAGTCTACGTCCTGTAGTTAGAAGTGGCGGTTATTTCAGGAAATACTGCGGTTTTAATTGGCGGTAAAAATAGGTATGTTCGGTTGATAGAGGCGGATTCTTACAATTATTACGTACGTATTACGTATTACGTATAAGATATGAAAGTCAAATCTTTAATAAGTACCTTTATAACGTAAGGGTGGAAAATAATTAAGGAGCTCTTGGGGAAGATTACCTAATGCCGAAAAATGATCCAGATGAAAAATATAATTAATGATTCTTGTTCCAAAGTTTGTATTTGTGAGGGAAAAAATATCAAATGACTTCTCTGAGAGGGAGTGTTAGACTCTTACTGACTAAAACCCCACCTGTTCCTTCTCCTGCTTTAGGCTGAGGCCGCGATATCTTATTGCGCTTTCCCCACAACCTAGGCTAAACATCACTCCTGTAGGGACCCGTCTGTGGTGGTCTATTAGCTTATTCATTGTTGAAGAGTATTTTGTAGGTATCAGCCAGAGTTGAGAGTCAAGCGCAATGTACCGCGTCCCCGGCTTGAAGCAGGAGGTCTGGAGTGGTTTTTACTCAGCAACTCTGACACTCCCTCTGGTCCAATCCAGGGCAGGAGAAAACATTAGACGATTTCGATTATTGTAAATTCAGCAAAGTTATTTTTAAATGCTTGTGAGTGTCTGAATTGACGAAGATTAGGTAAGTCTATACTAATATTATAAAGAGGTAAAAATTTGTAAGTTTCTATGTAGGGGGTAATCTTTGGAACCGCTGGTCGGATTGCTAAAATTCTTTCACTGATAGATAGCTACAATATTCCTGAGTGCTTTAGGCTATAAGACATCATGCTACGATTAAATGGAGCTGAGCAGCGGGTGAAACCGCGCGACAGTAGCTAGTATTTAATATACTTAAAAATATTCTGTAGCCGTCAAAAATATTATTTAACGTTGACTTTTGTGCTTCGTACCTACTTACAGGAAAAAGTGACGGAAAATTAATTCAAGCTTTATAAATAGGTACCTGTAATATTCACTTTTATTTACTACCTTACGTAACTAATATAAATAAATTCATTCACTCGTTTTCGTTTCAATTATTTGTATGTTTTTTTTTCTTGTATATGTAGGTACAGTATGTTCTTATTTATGGACTTACCAAAACTTCATGGTGTGTTCGATTGCCCCTATGCACCCACTGTACGTTTGGTAATGGTACAGCGTCTAAACTGCCACACGGCACCGTCACATTAGTACCCTTATCTGCAGCTACATCCCTGATCTCCACCTCCTCGGATAAAGCCAAGGAAAACGCTAAAAAAATATGCAAATTTTATTTTTTGAAAAAATATATTTCTCCTCCATAAAAAAATATTTATTCATTTTTTTCAATTAAACTAATAGTGTAATTTTTCTACAAGCCGGTTTTTATGAAAATCCAATTTATTTACCTTCTATTCCAAGGCAGAACACAGACAACAATATACGCTCGAAAAACATTCTAATAAAACTACATTTAGACACTTAGAAAAAAATCCGAGGTATTGTCTGTATAAAGTAAAAAAAGATTTATTTCCTATCTATTTATTTTGATCACACAGAATTAATTAAACGACGGAAGGCGAAATAATAGGAAACAAATCTCACAACAAACGTCTTCACTCCATTGATAAAAGTCATAGACTAATATAATTTTATCGTAAATTATGTTGCTATACTCTGTCGGTTTTCGAGCTACAGTATTGCTATTTACCAAAATAAAGTGTCATCTTGGACATAAAGTTATATATACACCAAATGATATTTATTTAAATTAAATTGTGGTTAGTCCAGACGTTTTTAAGGCCAATAACTTTATTAAATGTATTCAAAAGTAAGTCAAATTTATAAAATCTAACAAATTTAATTCTGATCTCCGAAAACTACTGTGAAGTTTGTTATAAAAATAAAAATAATTTTTGCTCAGATGTGCCCTACGCTTAAAGACCATAGAGTAATGTAGGATAATCTTGTTCCTGAAAATTATATTTATATTTTTATAGTTGCTGGAAGAATCAGCGTAGTTATTTTGGTATTTATTAAAAATATTTCGTAATTTAGTTCTTTAATTATATATCGTTCATCAATTTGTTTGTTAATGTCGAAATGACATTTCAGTTTTTTGACAACTGTCAGATTCCAGTTGCCTTTGGAATACAATGCATGGTCATAGACTAAAATATAGATTTTCTTCGGATATGGCCGCTGTATCGGCAATACGACATCTGCAATGTTTTGTAAATTCATTTTTATAAAATGAATAAGGTGTTTTTTACTTATGTATAGTGATTAGCGGACCGTGTACAGTGCTGTGATATTTGTAATGGATGCAGAGAACGAGTACGAAATAAAGAAAGTTCGTGATGCCATACAAACGATAGAGACTATCCAGTCCATGATCGACGTTTCAGCTGAAAGACTTGAGGGTTTGCGGACACAATGCTCGACGAGCGCAGAGCTGACGCAGCAGGAGATCCGGACCCTGGAGGTAGGCAGCTAAGCTAAGCTAACCTTCACAGCTCGTTGTAGGTACAGGGGAAATAAGCAATGCCCTTGAAAGTATTATACCGAGAGGCCGGGCCTCAAGGACTTAGCTGCACTCAAGGACTGGGGTGAATAGTTCATTGCCGTTGTGGAAATCGTTGCCGTACGCGCGCGCCGCTCCCTCTCACCTTGAATGTTTACCTTTTTTAATTTCACGCGATAAAAAGTTATAACATACATTTTATTACTATTTGTGTTCGGAATGCGAAAATGAGGTTGTAAAATGTATTTCATTCCAATATTAGGGTAGCACATTCATAAATGCACAGAAAAATGTTTTCTTTGAAGTATATACATGGTTTTAAAGGTGCATTCTAAACATTTCAACAGAAAATCTATAAATTTCATGGAGGTTTAGTTGTTAGTAACCTGTTTTGTCAATATTTAAGAAATTTACAAGTGAACATTGATCCACTGGTTGCTACAGAAAAATCTATGTTGGTAGAGAGATAGATACTACCAAAATCATTTATTTTGTCATGTGTTCATTATGTTTTAGCAGGATTATTTATTAGTTCAGGTATATTGATATCATAAAAGGTCTAAATACAATTCAAAAACTACTAATTACATTTATATTTTCATGTTTCATAATCAGAGATACTATTACTTTCATTAAATTTGGTTTCAAGTTGAAACAGTATATTACCTACCTTAATCCCTTGAGGAATAAACATTTTTGTATGGTGGTTTTTCAAGACATAGTATTAGAATTAGGATTAGAGTCAGTATGTAATATAATTTCTAATTGGACACTGCTAAAATAAATCTCTAAATATAAACATGTTAGCAAAATTTTTCCAAAGATATTCATGTAACTAAGGAAAAACAAGCTTATTGATTGCTTCTTAAATTGGAATTTAAAAAGACTAAAATGAATATCAGTTACATAAATTTGAACTTGAACTAAACATTTCCCAAAATGACACATAATAAGGCCATAGTTAAATACAAATACACAGTGAGTTGTCCCAATGTGTCACCCTGCCATAACATTAATAAACAATGACCGGGCTGTTTGATGAAGTGATTCAATGCTAATGCAGATATCCCCATCGAAAACTTATTGGAGTTCATAATAATGTATTGACATTCTTGCTTTCTTGGTTAAACCAATTAGTTCTAAAAACAGTCTGACATAAAAAAGTCTACAAAGATCGTTGGTTGGTGTATAGTATATAAAACATTAAAACAATTGATGCAAGGAAGTAATTGAGACTGGTGGGTTGATTACAAAATACCAGCCACCCACCCCAGCTTTGCTACGAGCATTGCACTTGTGCTGCTAAATTTCTCCACTACTTAATGGATGTACATGTTTATAAAATTCTCTCTTCAACCACGTTTCCAAATACCTTTTAAGCATAGATATAGGATATAGGGACAGAGAAAGCGCCTTTGTTTTTTTATACTATGTAGTGAAGGAATGTAGAAAGAAAGAAAGCTCATCTGGATGATTTTAGTAAAGCATACAAATTGATAAATACTTGCAACTAATATCTGATACTGCTATTTATACTGGAGAACAAAAAGTAAACATAGTAACAGCATTAGCATAATATTATATATGTATTTTATAGACAGTAAAAAGGAAATGGATGCCAATTATTAATTATTACTAAGTTTAACATACATGTTTTATATAAGAGTATATATCAAATTAATTGTTTCTTATTATTATGAAATAAATTATGACTAATTACAAGTGTAATCAACCCTGTCTTGAAGTAGTGGAGTGGAACACAATAATTAACATTTTCCTTCCTGGACCCAAACCATGTAGTAATTTAGTCAAGGTCACAAAATGTAGGTAGTCACTTCCCAAATAGATTTAATACAATCTATCTGGTATCATTCAGATTAATTACCCCAGCCTTAATTTATTTTTTTTGATAGATTTTATAAGAAACCTCTGTCACCGTGTATGCAAAAGAGTAGATAGTACATATGTATATATGTAATGATTTTCTACCTACCAGGTTTAGCCATGTAAAGCTCCCTGTTGAAGCTGTCAAAGGTGACTATTCTGCATTTCTATAACCATGTTTTGTGGAAATAACAAAACATAGTACCACCAAGTCTATGGACAAAAATCATCAGACTATAGACAATATTAGTTTCTGAAAAGATGAATATGAATTCTAAAGATGTAAAGGACATGGAATTTGCATTTTTCTGTAGGAAGTATAATTTTAGAAAGATCTACTTGGTGGTACAGAAACATTTGAATTAGGTACAACAAAACTTTTTAATTTGACCTCATTGAAGTTTTCCTGTTCACAGGAGTGCTAATTATAGTCATATAAATTACCTACAATATTAATGTGAGATGACTTATTCCCTATTGTAACTTATTATAAAGGAGAATCCACTAAAAATGAGAATTTATAATAAACATATTTTATTTTGATCCTCACAAAGTTACAACCCTGTGTTTATTTTCAATTCTGATAAACCAAAAATTACCAAATTGACTTTCATGAGGTTAAAACTTAGGGTTAAGACTTTTTAGGAAGGATTTAAATTTATTGTAATTTATTAGGGTTTTATTTGTATTTACGCTGTCCAGCTTTATAAACCATGCGTCTATAAACCACCACAGACGGGGCCCAACAGGACTGATGTTCAGTCGGGGTTGCGGGGTAAGCGCAATGAGGCACCGCGGCCTCGGCCCAGAGCAGGAGAAGGAACGGGGGTTTTTAGTCAGTAAAAGTCTGACACTCTCTCTCGCCTTACCATGGGCGGGAGAAGTCATTGGATGTTTTTCCCCTTACAAAAAAAAATGGGGTTGCATCTATAAGCAAAAAATAAATACAATAGAAATTTTTTTTAACGGTGTGTCTTACTCGCTTTGGAACACTGTATACAAACAATTAATTGTTCTTAATTTGTTTTTGTAAACAATTACTAATTATTTTATTACGCAGTATATGATAGTGATCTGTTTTATTGGTATGTAGTATTTTGATTTGTCTACAACAAAAGTATTTGCTTGATAAGGACTGCCCTTGTTTATATGCACTTAATTTGCAATTACCAGCCTGTACTAATAAAAAGTATAGTTATCTCTATCATAAATCGTTTTTTTTAAATGAAAAGTATACAGGGTGTCTTCAAAACATAAAAAATGAATATTGTTTAGCATCACGTAGCATAGTAGGTGTAAGTTAAAGTTTTGAGTGTAGGAGAGCCATGCTACGGCACGAATGGGCTCGACCGGAGTGATACCACGGCCTCACAGAAAACCGGCGTGAAACAACCACAGCGTTGTTTCGCCGTGTGAGTAAGGTTACCGGAGGCCCAATCCTTCCCCTACCCAATCCTTAAATCTCCAAAACCCTAATCTCTAAAAGGTCAGCAACGCATTCGTAACTCCTCCGTTGCGGGTGTCCATAGGCGGCGTTGATTGCTTACCATTAGGTAATCCGTGTGCTCGTTTACCAAAAAAAAAGTATTAAGGTTGCCTTTCATCTGGTGAAATTTCATTATTGAGTTTTGGGACAGTCGTCATTATTATTTAAATTATATTTGACTACAGATAGTCAGAATCATCGTAGTTTTTATTGAATAAACCAATAACGTCACGTACGTCATTTTAGTATCTTGCCCTCCACTAGTGAATATGAGAATGATATGACATTCTTTCGTTAAAACTCTACAGGTATCAGATAACGATTGTACGGAATCATACCTACACGAGTACTTACGAGTAAAACCTACGCATGACGTAGATATTTGCAACAGACGACAGTGATTAACTGATTACGCATTTGAAAAAAAACAATTGATTCGGAAAACCAGCGTGAAACAACATTGCAATGTGTGTCGCCATTTTAATTTAGTTTATCATACCCTATCCCACAGTCTTGCCATAATTGGTCAAAAATAAATTAATTCGACGTTTCAAAACAATAAAATGTTGAAAAATATCTATACTTTTATTCATCGATCCATCGATACTAACTTTTAGATATTTTGTAGCTAATTATTAAGAAATAAGTAAGCTATTTGACACAAATATACTATGACGTCATAACTCAGTTTTTCATACAAATTTCATAGAAAGGTATAGTTTTTGGCATTTGGATAAAATTATTGAATTTGACTAGTTGGAAACTACCGTATTCCACCAATCCTTATATCCCTTACTCTCAAAACGTCGGTCATCCACTCCCGTGGTGATGCAAGTGTCCACTGGCGGACTTCTATCAAATGATTCATACTCGTGTCCCGCCCTATGCGTGTAATTTGAGGGAAGAATTGAGCCGATCACCTCACCCACACAGCGAAACAACGCTAGATGGGTTCTTGAGCAGGCAGGTATTTTTTAAATAAGCCCATTCGTGCTGAAGCACGGCACGGCACTCCTACACTTAAAGATGCTTAACTTGTTGAGTCAGAAGCTCTGACTGGTTAAGTCAACGATCTGTTGCCTTCAATATTCCTTCCAATCGTACATACGTTTTTGCAAACACTTGTCACTACATAGCTTAAAAAGTAGCTTTCTCTGTCACTATATCCCTATGTATGCTTAAATCATTAAAACAACGCAACCGATTTTGTTATTTAATAGGTAGGTACAGGGATTGAAGAGGAAGGTTTATATGTATAATATTATCCATTAAACAGAGAACAAATTCAGTATTAGCATTGCCTCTGTGCGGGGCCGAAGCCGGGCCAAGTCGCTAGTTTTTAATGTTTTATTTCTGCATCGCCTTTAGATTGAAAACAACAATGTGAAAATCAAAACTGTGACACACAGCACGATTTTTCATCAAGCTGCTTAATTAACAGTGCAATCAAACTGTTAACTAGATATGCCTAGAAACTAAACTCATTTTGTGTTATAACAGTCATTAGATCTATGTCTTACGGCTTACGACTTACATATCATGCATCAGCAAAGTGTGGGGTCAGCTCAACCGGAGTGATACTCACAGAAAACCGGCGTGAAACAACCACAGCGTTGTGTTTCGCCGTGTGAGTGGGGTTACCGGAGGCTCAATCCTTCCCCTCCCCCAATCCCTAATCCCTAAACGGTACTCCTCCGTTGTCTATGGGCGGCGCTGATTGCTTACTATCAGGTAATCCGTCCGCTCGTTTGCCGACATATTACATAAAAAAATTATGAATTACTTGAGATGCTCTACTAGTTTCAACTCACAACGGGACTCTTAACACGAGCAGCGTGCGCGTTGCCGTGACGGCATTGAACTGAACTCCTTTGTTATCCCGGATAAATAGCAAATAATAATAATAATTTATGTCGCACGTGTATAACATTTTAAGTGTGTATCAGTTCAGCCGGGGTTGCGGGGTAAGCGCAATGAGGCACCGCGACCTCGGCCTAGAGCAGGAGTAGGAACAGGGGGGTTTTTAGTCAGTAAGAGTCTCGCCTGAACCTGGGCGGGAGAAGTCATTTGATGATTTTCCCCTCACAAAAAAATAAATAAAAAAAAAGTGTGTATCAGTTATTTATGTATATGAAAGTTATTACGGCACGGTCCACTGATTATATTCTACTATTCGCGGCGTGTGTTTACGATTCGCAGAATACTTGCAATTTCTCCGTGTAAAATGTTACTGTAGTTTTCTTTTTTGATGAAAGTAAATCACTATGATTGTATGTCGACGTCAATCTTAGATGGTAATACGGTATTAAAAGATCTTTAAGAAATCTTTGCAAGTAGTTAGGAGACAAAGATAACACTAGCTTGGCATATTACCTGCTAAGGATTGTTTGCATGCCTTCTTTTTTGATGCAAAGAGGAACTTGAACAAGGAACCTTCATCAGTTCTTTCCATCAGTGCATGAGGGCATGGTTGAAGGTGGATCACTGTGTTACCAATCAATGTCTTACAGGTCATTCCGCCCTCAGGGGCAAATTGTTTTTATTTAACCTTTCAATCGTGGCAATACTAAACACAATATAACAATAGACGAACGCCAGCGTTCAATTGGGATTTGGGGAATACATGATGTCAATGTTCGACATGTTCTAATACGAGCAGTCCGCCCATCACAAACTCTGGGAGTACGAACGTAACACTATGTTAGATAATTGTTTCATCAGGTGTAGTTTATTATTTGGACCTTGTGGAATGTAGAACAAAATTCTATACATTAACGCGCTTTTGCCATAGATATCTATAACTGAAAACAAGTGAAACACCTGACACATAGGACTCACGTAATTTGGTATGTAGTCCAATTTCGACTTTCGACGGGCTCCTCCCAGTTATGCAGTTTCTTTGTACTTTAAAGGCTTAAGTTATTCTGTCCTCTGCTTTAAAGTCATCGTCAGAAGTGGATACTACTGTTTTTCTCGTCTGATGTCTTATTGCTTGATTCAAGACAGTTGCTCATGTTCCTAGGATGCACTGGACTTCAGTGTTTCAGTGTTTTCATGATTAGTTGCAGTGGCTGTAGGAGGTTGTAGCAGGCTTGTCCCACTATAAATTTTAAACCTCGTATATGCTGGCCCTGTAAGATCAAGGAGTTACTACGCCGACAGTAAACTCCTGTACGATTGGTATAAAAGCTAGGTGACTGCTAGGGTTCGATACCTGCATCTAAAAATATTTTTGTAATCTACAAACTGTTCTGAGTTTGGGATAAATTTATGTGAAATTGTTGGTAAATGCGTTCACGCACGTCACAGAAGAAAATCCTACTCTGATTCAGTGTTTTTAAATGGAATCACCTGGTCTGTAAATTAATAACTATCCTTAAAAACAATGTTTTTGTGATTCACAAACTGTTGTTTTAAGTCTAAGTGTGACCCATGTGAAAATCCTATTCTGGTACAACTTTTTTAAACGTAATAAACTAGCTTGTAGGTTGATTAATAACCCCTCTCTCTCTCTCTTCCAGGGCAAGCTGGTGAAACACTTCTCCCGACAGCTGGTAATCAAGGCCAGCTTCGGTGAGGAGTTGCGGCGTAAGCTCGGCGATGTGCCGCGACTTGCACAATGGCTGAGGGTTGTAGGATTAAGCCCCGATTCTATTACGGTACGTTTTAATTTCTCTTCTACATGTTAATTAAAATATAAGTATAACACCACATCATCAGCCTATTAGTGCCCACTTTTGCACAAAGGCCCTTCTAACACGGTGAAGTTTTAACCACCACGCTTGTTCAATGGCGGATTGGTGAATTCAAACTTATAAGTCCAGTAGTAATAAAAGTAGATATTATAAGGTCCAGGTTTCCTCAAGGTGTTTGTTTTCACCGTATGTCAGTGTCTAAATAACCATAGAAAGTATCTATAACTTGGAAAAGTCGCATTGGTACTTGCCAGACACAAAAAAGTATTAGATGTGCAAAAATGTCTAAGTTCCTTTCTAAAACACTGCGAGTACCTACTGGGATCCAAGTTTTACAGAACCTTATGCAACACGTAAAATGAGGGGGTAACGAACGAGTAACATAAGGTAGCCAAATGTCTTCCAAAGTATGTTCAAGGAAAACGTCTTCCCATTCGCATGTCTTAATGATTACAAGAGGAAGTTTATATGTATAGAAGTTAACTGTTTAATAAGCCAATAGTTAAGGAAATATTAATTATATTTTGACTCACTTGTAACGTTGCGTCAACAACAACAGTTGTGTTCTACCGTGTAATATTTAGTTAAGCGTGATAAGATAATACGAACGGATGCGACTTCTGCAGAAGAAAGTGTGATATTCGTTCAGGAAGTGACGTGCGATTATAAAAAAAGTATTAGTCACTTCCGCTCTTGCTCGATTACCTGGCCTATGGATCATTACGCCGGGAACGGAAAAAAATTAATGTCTTTATATGTAACTTGTAATTCTTGTGATCCGGATGTCCATTAAGCAAGTACCTAAGTAAGGCTAATCGCCCTACCGCCCGACGAAACGTAAGCTCGTTGGCCAATTGATTTATTAGATCAATTGTAATAATGTAATGTAATAATATAATAATGTCATTAATAGGGAAAAATTAAAATAGTGTCCTTATATCCCCAAACAAGTTCAGTTCAGCATTCGGAGGCGTGTGACATGTCTTTTTAGTTTTTTTTGAGGTTGAAAATCATCTAATGTTTTGGTCTCGCCCTGCGTGGGTCGAGAGGGAGTGTCAGACTCTTACTCGACTAAAACCAGACCGGGGCCGCGTTACTTGCGCTTGCAACCGCAACCCATGTCTTTCTGGCTGATAAAGTTGTTACGAAAAGGCCAGTTCATCTAAGCGCGTTTTATGACTAACTAGCTACTCTCGCGGTTTCACCCGCTGCTCGGCTTTTACAAATAGAAGCGTGATGTTTCATAGCCTATAGCACTCAGGAACATTGAAGCTATATATCAGTGAAAGAAATTTGGAAATCCGAACAGCGGTTCCAAAGATTACCCCCTACCTACAAATTATAATATTGGTATAGATATACCTAACGATCATGTAAAGATTTGAATTGATATTAATGTTCGCGAGAGTGCGCACGTTGCTCATGAATATAAGTTCCGATGTGTCTTGAAACTGGTAGAGCATATCTCGAATGGTTCATGCCAGTAAATGGTATTTTTCAACTGGGTATGATACCCAGTAGTATAAAGCACGGAAGGCGCAGTGGCTGAGCTCTTTGTGTGATCCCCAAATTGTTGTTTCGGGTCTGGTTGGCTTGTGTATATGAATTTGTACGTTTGTAAACGCACCCAGGACATAGGAAAATCTTAGAATGAGGCAATTTATTAAAAATAAAATGAAAAAAAAATGTTTCAGGCGGTATGTTCTCGCGTGGCGTCGTTGGAGACGCTGCGGGAACGCTCCGACCACGAGATGCGCGCGCTGCTGGCCGGCGCGCGCGACGAGGAGGTCCTGCGACTCTGCCGGGCCATGCAACGGCTCCGGACTTATATAGGTACAGTATACATGGTTTTTAAACTTTACAAATTTATTACTTAGGACAGAATTTTTAATAGATAGGGCTAATATAACTCAGTCCAAGAAGTTTTTAAATAATAAATTGACTGATGTTTAGAAGTATTTCTATTATATTAATTAAGGTGAGTTTGAAATATTTGTAGACCAATTCCATTGGTATGGTATACCTATGTCGGCAAATAAAGGTTATAGTTGATTTGAAATTACAGCGAATAGCCGTGAATTGCTGTAAATGCGATTGTTAGATGAAATGATTCATTTGCTATGAATGTAAAACAAATATATGGTGCTAAATGAAAGTAGAGTCCAGTACATTCTATCATGAGGCATGCAATAGTATATTATGGCATGACGTTTTTCAACACACTGCTGAATAAAATAATACTGAAATAAAAAACCATTCTTCATTAATTGTATTTGCAGACATCTTAATTAATAACCAAATCAATAACTCCAAAAGAGAAAACGAGACGAGTTGTGAAAAATGTTTCATAATGGCGGGAAAAATTAATTAGTTTTTCAATGCGCGCGCATCGGCCATAGACCACATACCATATAGATACCACGGCCTCACAGAAAAGCGGCGTGAAACAACTACAGCGTTGTGTACCGAAGTCCCAATCCTTTCCCTCCCTAATCCCAAAATCCCCAAGGTCGGCAACGCACCCGTAACTCTTCCGTTACCATCAGGTAATCTGTCTGTTCATTTGCCGTCCCATCACATCTGTAATATAAAAATGAACCACGAAATGTGTTGGTAAGCGCATAACTCAATAACGCCTGGACCAATTTCGCCAATTCTTTTTTGTTATTTTCGTTAAAGTCAAAGTCAAAATAATTTATTTCAATTAGACCCATACAGGCACTTTTGAACGTCAAACAAAATTTTAAAGATATATAGTGTCAGTCTGTCGGTCAGTCCTCTTAGTGAAGCTATTTCTAAGCTCGTTCCAAAGTGTCTTATTATTAGGAGTAAGTTCTTACGAAAGAAAACTTTAGAAAAATAAAGGGGAATATCAACAACCCTTTCGGAGCCGTGGAAGTTCGTTTGCAAAACAAATGACTGACACCGGGATAGTCGGATACGCACGTGCGAAGCAGGGGCATTCTGGTAGTAAAAAATAAAAAAAGTTCAATCACCATTTGTAGTGATAGAAATATTCTTGGTAGTGTCTGTATAAATTTTAATATTTATTTTGTCGTGATTGACCACAGAGGCGTTGGGTCGCGGCGACGCTGGCGCTGAGCTTCAGTTGTTCTGGGACTCGTGGGAGCGCACCGTGCGCGCCTCGCCCCGCGCCCCGCGCGCGCGACACGCCAACGCTGACCACCACGGCACGCCTCATAACAAGAAAGGTATGATACCAGTGATTATCATCATTTATGACTCACAAATCACTACTGAACTTAGGATTCCTTAATGACTTTTTCGTTTGACCGGTCAAATATATAGTCAACTTGCATTCAGCGTTTGCCTTCAGAAAGAGACATAATAATATGTCTGCCATGAAAAAAATATTTTTCTAACTATTTTTGGCAAGAGTTCTGTGTCTTAATTAAAATTAAAATTTTGTTGTGAATGATTTTCGACAAACTAGATCTCATTGAAAGTCAACGTCAAATCATTTATTTTGAAAAGGCACTTTTGTAAGTCAAACTGAACATTTCTATTCTGTCGGTCTGTCCTCTAGTGAAGCTATTTGCTCGTTCCAAGGTGTATATTCCTCAAGGTCGCGGGGTGGGCGCAATGTAATACCGCGCCCTCGGCCTAAAGCAGGAGAAGGAACTGGGGGGTTTTTAGTCAGTAATAGTCTGACACCCTCTGTCGCCATACCCTGGTCGGGAGAAGTACTTTAAGGATTTCCCCTGACTGTAGATTATTTCCAAACGAGTCAAACGAATACCCGTTGACCACACATTACGTCAGTTGTAAATAGGTTTGGCCAGCATCCGTAACATAATCATCGTTCTTTCCAGGTGGCAAATCTCCCCCCACTCCAGTAGCGAAGCGGAAACAACCGAGTACCCTCCCCCCTCCAGCGGCGCTCACCAAGTCAAGGTCGCACGAGTCACAGCTCTCTGTGAGACCTGACGCTTCAGACCTTAGGTAAGTGCAGAGGATCTTCAGCTTTGTGTCTTCATTGTAAAGTCTAAATCACTTCAATATTTTGTGCTAGGCTTATTAATAATGTATGATAACGCATGCTGCTGTATTGTTTATTAACCAATTCGGTTTGGGATTAGTGTTGATTGTGATTTTTGCATAGATCATTGGCAGGGATATTTTCAACTAACTATCTTCAATGTGGTTCTCATGTAATAGACAATTAGTGTGTTAGGTTATGGCTTAATGTTATAATATATATGTTACGTGTACAGTGACAACAGCCAGTCGTCGGCAGTGGGTACGTCGGAGGTGACGCCCCCCGCGTCCCCGCACGACACCGAGTCCGACCACACGCCGCTACACCGGCCCCTGCCCTACCACAACAATAACGTAAGCCACACCACATTACCACCACACCTCGCTACACTGCAGCTTCAGCTTCGCTCACTACGACGCTGCCACATTAACTTTCGACCTAAACACTCATAAATCCGCTTCTTACTAGGCGTAGTTTAAACATAGACCTTTTGAGATTTAGGTCGGAGTTCGAGTTCGAGTCTTTTGAGATGAACAATTTAATCTGTGGCGAGGCTTTATAGAAGTTTTTGATTAATTGATTAGGTATTAAATGCATTGCAATATGATTGGAAGTACCCATAGCCAGTAGGATTAGTGGAGCTAGAACGTAGGTGTGAGTGAGTTAGGGCGAGGTTGTGCGGCTGGTGCAGGTAGGGTGCCGGGCGCCGCGGACGGGCGCGAGGGGCGCGAGGGGCGCGAGGGGCGCGCTGGGGCGGCGGCTGGCCAGCATCATGGCGTGCGCCTGCGCCGCCGACCGCGCGCCGCCGCCCGCGCCGCGCACCCCGCTCCACGACCCGGTCTGTATGCCTCCACTCCTCTCTCTGTGTCTCTCTGTCTCTCGTTGCCCCCGCCCTGTATTCCACCCACCGTCAATGCCGCACTCTGTAGTGTAAAGGTGAAACGATGTTGTGAGTATTTCTGCATGGTAGACTACGTCGCGCTCTTCGACGTGAATCTTCAGCTTCTATAACATACTATACTATGTGCATGGTCCTTTAGCAGTAGGTACTGTAAGTAGCTTTATTTTTCTACAAATTATATTAATAATCTCGGTGTGTAATCTCTTCTAGGAAATCTCAGTGAAACGTTCATAATGTACGATCTTAAGTTGTTTATTTTGATGGCTTCAAATCTCTGTATTTGTAGCATGTGTTTCGTTTTTCATTGTTAAATGTAGGAAAATATCGATGTTTTGTAGACTATTTCTCGACGTTGTCAGTAGTGTGCGTTTAAATCTGCGTTAATATTAAGTCAATTAAGTTGCAACGTTAACGTATTTGGTTCGTGTGTACAAAAAATTTTCTTCAGAGGTTCCCAACATTTTCTGTTCTGTAAAAATATAGGTCAAATTGGACATTTATTAATTTTCGACACAGGTGAGTAACATCCTGTTAAACACGCAAAAATGGTTTCGCGAATTATATTTTATAAGTAACGATTGTGAGATGTATTAAATGTATTGAAATAATGACTTACTCACATTAAATAACTGCAAGAAGTTCTACCAGTCACATCATAACAGGACTCTTATTCATGGGTCTCTTTGTAAATAAGGTCCAGTATAATAATAATAATTTTATCCGGACCAGAGCAGGAGAAAAATATCTTATGAAATAACAAATCGCCTCTTCAACATCCGGATTGTTTTACTCTGTCCTCGAGGCTTTTATCGCCTGCCAGGGGGCGTTATCACCCACTTTGCGAAATATTGGCCTAGACTTGAGACACAGAACATGAAATAGGAAGCAGTCGATTATTGCAAATTTGAACAAAGTTAAACTGAGCTTTGAAATAGACAGGATGAACTGAATCTAAGACAACATAAATGGTCCATTGCTGGTCTTTATTATCACTTTATATAAGAAGCTTTGCTGTAATATCTAGGCTTAGTAGTCAGGTTAAAGACCGCAGTTTAAAAAATACGTAATTTATAATAAAATACCTAAATATACCCCTAACAGGATTTCCCTATGCGGACTATGGTCTATCTTTTGCATAACAATCTATAAAGTTCTAAACACTTACTTTAAACAACAGTAGCCTTTATGATCTTTTCAATAAAGTGTTAAATCGTATGCAGACGGGAGTGGGCGTCGCGCCGCGTTCCCCTCGCACGCCGACGGTGAGTCGTTGCATGGCGCACGACATCGCCCATCGCTTCACCAAAACCATGTTGATCGCCACCTGTGATTACTGCGACAAACAAATGTTCGGCTCCGGACTCAAGTGTAAGGAGTGCAAGTTTAAATGTCACAGGTGAGTATTTCAACTTCTATATAACTGATTTTTCTTTATCATTATTATTAAATCGTCCACAAAATTTGGATAAGCGTGGGAGAGCCATCCTCTGCCCACATATGTTCTTATTAACAATCCCAAGTCAACAAATAATTATCAGCTCCCGAAAAGTAAGCAAATGCAGTTTTTCGTGTGATTTCTCGGCAAATGTGCTGAAAATTACCTGAAGGTAAGCAATCAGCGCCGCTCATGGACTAGTGCGTTGCCGATCTTTTTGGATCAGGGTTTTGGAAATTTAGAGATTTAGTAGGGATTGAGGGATGGTAAGGATTGGGCCTCCGATAATTTCAGTCACACGGCGAAACACAATGATGTGGTTGTTTCACGCCGATTTTTTGTGAGGCTGTGGTATCACTCCGGTCGAGCCGACCCATTTATTCCGAAGCATGGCTCATCTACGCTTAGTGAAAACGAACTTCATAAATGCCATTTAAAGGTTGAACCATAGACTTTTTTACTTAAACCTCCAAACTATTACCTATTGAATATTGTCTAAATAATATCATTTAATTTGTATTACAGAGACTGCGAAAGTAAAGTACCTCCTTCGTGCGGCCTACCGCCTGAATTTGTGGATGTTTTCAAAGAAAAGTTTCACAAAGATGGTGAGTTTCTTTCTTTCTTTCTTCTTCTTCTAGTTCTTGTTAAAAGGAAACTTCCCAATTTGTCACTTGCAAATGGGTCCCCAAAATTTTGAGAAATGCCCTCTCGTCTTGCATTATAGTCGACCTTTTATTTATGCGATGCAGAGATGAGAATGGCACGTGACATCAAGGACTTAAAAAAAACCTGTTATTTTTATACACAGAGATATACCTAGCCTTATAATAAGATAAACACAAAATAGGTTTGATATTGTAATGTGTGGTAATACAAAGTATGACGTCCCCGGTGCAGGCGGGTACTACGGGTACGTGTCGGGTCGCGGCGCGGGCATCCTGTCGTCGCTGACGCACCGCCGCAGGACGCACGCCCCGCCCGCACCACACCATGCGGTAACGTTCAATGTACACCCTTCATTTACTATTATAACGGTGACTCATTTATCCTAAGCTATGTTAAAATCATACAATCTCGATATACATTATGAATTGTATGTTAAAATACTAATGTCGAGTTTTTATACATACTAAGTTTTAACTTTGTTATAAAGTCGAATTTTTACAGTTGTTTTTTTGTTTGCTTTTTGTAACAATAGTAACTACAGCAAAAGCTTCTTAATTGAAATTAAAATCTTTTGTTTGTTTTAAAGATAAGTTTGGATCTTACATATAACTAAATGTCTATTTTGACATATATATCATGTTATACTATAAAATATCTTTGATCTAGCTAGACGACCGATTATAAAATAATGTTTACCTCACAGGGCGGACCAGACTCCTCGTCGAACACGTCGTCGTGCAACAGTTCGACCCCGTCGTCCCCCGCGCTAGCCCCGCCTCTGACCCCGCACCACCCCCACCACCACCAGCACCACCCCCACCACACGCACCACCCCCACCATCCGCACCATCCGCCCACCACAAAGCAGCAGTTTCATTTCCCAGGTAAGAAAAGTAATTTTGTGTTGTAAAATCTCACTGAATATAAATCGATTTCAACTCTGAATGCATGTTGTTTGGCGCAGTGATTGAGCGATCAGCAAACAATATTGTTAAAAGAAATTGTGGTTTACATAACTAATGGTAAGCAATCGGGGTCGGCCATGGGCACCCGCAGCACCAGAGGACTTACGAGTTCGTTGCCGGCCTTTTGATGAATAGGGTTTCGGAGATATAGAGATTGGGGAGGCGACAGGGAAAGGGTTGGGCTTCCGGTAACCTTACTCGCACCGCGAAACACAACACTGTTGTACTTTCACGGCGGTTTTCTCGGTCGTGACACTCTGTCACTCCGGGCAAGCTGACTCATTCGTGCAATTTTGTTTCGGTATAACAAAATGTTTCTTTGTATTAACAGAACTGAAGCCAGTGGTATCTAGTCCTAACCACGTGTCGGTTCAGTCGCCGTCGAGGCAGCAAGACAACAAGGAAGACCTCACTACTAGCGTGCAAAGCGGTAAGATTCTACATTACTATAAAACATGGAGGTCAAATTAAAAGACACAAGAAACTAAAGAATAGTCAAATGAAATATTATCCTGTTAGCTGATATTATAAATTGTGGGTTTTTTTTGTGAGGGGAAAATCATCAAATGGCTTCTCTCGCTCAGGGCTAGGCGGGAGGGAGTGTCAGACTCTTAGTGACTAAAAACCCCCCTTTTCCATCTCCTGCTCTGTGCCGAGGTCGCGGTGCCTCATTGCGCTTACCCCCCAACCCCGGCTGAACATCAGCCCTTTAGGGCCCCGTCAGTGGTGGTCTATTGGCTCTTTGAGGCGCGCGCGGAATAAATTGTGGGTGCAAGTGCAATAATGTACCAAGGCCCCGGCACAAGGCAAAATAAGGGACGTGTCTGTCTTGTCAGTCAGTCCCTCTCTCCCCACCTACGGCGGGCGAAGTTAGTTAATGATTTTTTCCCCACTTTTGTGGGGAAAAAATCATTAATTAACTAACATTAATTAACTAAATACGTAATATTATAAATGTGAAAGTTTGAGAGGATATACCTGGCGGCCTACTCATTCTTGGAATCAAGGTTAGGCACAGAGATAAAATAGTCTAGACAAGTAAAATCATCAGATTCTTTTTATCCTAGAAGCAAGGCATGCTCATATCAAAATATATGTTTACCTTGCTTGCCTTACCCCTGCTAATCTTTCTAAGAATTATATAAAAGACAGTATGTACATATTGCAGGCGACAGTTCCCGATGCGTGTCATTATCAGGCTCGGGCTCCACGGACAGTGGGGGCTGTCAGCGGGGGGACTCCTTCGACCTCTCCAACAAGCATGGAGACTCCCGGTGGCCACGTCAGAATAGTGTAAGTTATAATACTTTTACTTATCAAAGAAAAAAGGGTGGAATGCCTTCTGCGGTTCCATGGGCGCTACCGACTGCATCCCATCAGATGATCCGTCTACTCGTTTAAACATAAAAGGTTTTTTTAATGGGATATGTCGTCCAACGAGCAGACTTAATAGACCGTGCCTACTCATTCGTGCCGAAGCTTTGCTCTTCCACTTACACATTTTGGAATACGATACTTAATTAAAATAAGAGGGCTTATTTTAATTGTCCTTGACTGTATACTAGATTTGGTTATATGCCAATATATCATAAGTTATGTGTGTGTAAATGACAAAAACTCGTTACTAACATACCTAATTTGCAAATTACCATTTCTCCTGAAACGTTCGCCCTTTAAGCCTTAAATCAATATTTTTAAAAAGCATTTTGATAAACTAAATGTCCTGATGGTAGCATCAACAAAATAAACTTCGTAACTGTAGTAGGTATTGTTCCATCTGTGTGTGGACAGATAACGCGGGAATTGACTGCCGACTGTCGGACCTAACGATAACGAAGCGATTGACACTGACAGTTATACACAACTATTATTGTATTTATATCACAACACAATTAATATTACAAGCACAAAAGCTTTAATACATTTCTATAAGGGCTTTTTCTATTAGTATTAATGTGTGATTTGTTTTTTTGTCTTAGTGATTTTGATTTTGTGATTAAAAGTTACGTCGATAATGTCTATTTTTGTACGTAGACGACGGTTGTTTGAGGAAGTAAGTGTTTGAGTATTGTTTTTTTTGCTATTGTTCCTTGAAGGCGAGCTTAGGACAAGTCCATTCCAATTATATTTTTTAATAGACTGTGTTCATTCTATAGGTAACTTGAAATCTATATCTTAATATTGTTAAATATCAAACAAAACTCTTGTTATATTTGTCTTATTACGATAAACTTCGTAACTAAGGAACTGTTTTATTGAATTAAGTTAAGATAGTAATATTTTAATGCTAACTAAATGTAACACATTTTAAATGCATCAATTTATGAATTCGTTTACATAATTGATTTTATCACTATTTATTATGAATTCATTTCAAATTAAAAGCCTTTAAGAGTTATAAAAAGTTCAAATAAAATAATCGACTACAGTACTTTAACAAGAATAACAACACGATGACATTTCTCAAATTCCAGTTATCAATGAAAGAATGGGACATCCCATACGACGAGTTGAAGCTGTTTGAAGTTATAGGCACGGGTCGCTTCGGTACTGTCTACCGCGGCAGCTGGCACGGGGCCGTCGCCGTCAAACTACTACACGTGCTCAGCGACGACTGTGTACCGCTGGATACCTTTAAACATGAGGTAATTGAGGCTATGGGCTGTTTAATTTTGTTGTCTACTTAGCTATTTGCTGGAATGAAAGAAAGAAAGTTGTTACGGTTGAAAATTTAATTGATGTAGTACAAATACAGATGACTTGATTGAGTGTATGTATCAGAGGGGGTTTGAAACCAAACGGCCAGGAAATCTCTTCTGTATAAAGAAAACCAATATTTTAACTTGGGTATTGGGTAGTTTCCGAGGTCAAAATTAAAATATTTTGCCTTCTTTACACAATTATTTGTTAAAATTTATTCATACTTTCATTGTTTGACTTTAGAAAATACTTCATTTTAAATTATGTTTAGCTATAATTTTTAAATCCTATTTGACGTAAAATATTATGACATCATATGTAGCCATTTCATACAAAATTCATTCTAGTTGGAAACTACCGAATTCAAAAGGTTTTTTTTATGTCAAAATTACGACTTTGCTACATGTTTTCATTTTATTGTTATTAAATACAATGTATATATGATCCAGGTGGCGACCTTCCGTAAGACTCGGCATGAGAACTTAGTCCTGTTCATGGGAGCGTGCATGAAGCCGCCTCGCCTGGCCATCGTGACGTCACTGTGCAAGGGCATGACCCTGTACACACACATCCATCTCCGCAAGGACAAGTTCACCGCCAACAAGAGCGTACTCGTCGCACAGCAGATATCACAGGTATCACTGTAACTTGCGCATACTTTTGCGCAACTATTAGCGCATTGTTTGCGCAATTTCATAATGTGAACTCGATAGTACCAGCTAATAACATTATATCGTTAAGTTACCAATAACAGGCTCTTGTCCATTTAAAACCAAAATAGGAGGTTCTTTTAATTAAAACATAATATACCAACATAACGTCGTAGTGACCCAGAGAAGGTTAAGGTTTCTCAGGTGTGAAGTTGCAGGTTCCAAACCTGTCAAGTACAAATGTGACTTTACCGAGTTACATTATCTATGATAATTTAGACACCATTGAAATTCCATGGAGGAGAACATTGTTAGGAAACCTGGACTTAGTAGTTAATTATAAGTCGAAAATCGCCAATCCGCTTTTAACAAGCGTGATGATTAATGCTCCAACCTTCTCTGCGTAAGAAGAGGCCTTTGCTCAGCAGTGAGCACTTATAGGCTTATGACGATGATGTGATACCAACATTGTTTAACATTTTCTCAATATAAAAATATTAATCTCCCCTTTTTGTTCTAGGGTATGGGCTACTTGCACGCGCGAGGGATCATCCACAAAGACCTGAAGACAAAGAACATTTTCTTAGAGAATGGCAAAGTAGTGATCACTGACTTTGGGCTCTTCAGCGTTACCAAACTGTGCTTTGGAAACAAGTTAGTACAAAGGTCATTAGAGAACATTTTGCACTATTATCTTAATTATAAATAACAGGAGTAAATGCACGCTAGCTTATATTTTGTTCAGAATAACGCTTGTCGGGTAAAGAGGGCTATTCTATACCCCATTATTATCTCAAGATGGTTATAGTTGGAGTAATGTTGCATTACTCAGATCTAAAAAAAATATGTTACTTACAATCAGAGCCGTGGTCGTGGTGACCCTAAGGTTAAGCTTTTCATGACTTTCCACGTTGTATATGTACTTTCTAAGATTACTTAGACAATACTGCAAACGGTGAAGGTGACCTAAATTAGGTCAACCCATCCTGAGTAAGTGATGATTAATGTTTAAACTTTCGTGTGAAAAAGGCCTTTGCTCAGAAGTGGGCACTCATAGGCTGATGGTGTAATGTGACTTAGTGGCGTACCATCCATAATGGTAGGAAGTATCTTTTTCCATAAATATTGTGCGTATAAATTGTAAATTAAATTATACGCAGCTCTACCGTCGTTGACATCATGCTTTCCATCGCTAACGCTGACCTATTAAAAATAATAAAAAAAAAACACTACCATACATCTTGTATTACTAGTTTCAAACGGGGGCTTAATGTCAAAATGTATGCGGTCATTAGATAGGTACCTATTTAAATAATTGTGATATGTATGTGTTGTTGATTGTGCCCCCCCCCCCCCCCCCCAGCCTGCGCGGCGACAGCCTGGGCATCCCGGCGGGCTGGCTGTGCTACCTGGCGCCCGAGCTCTGCCGCGCCCTCACGCCGCACGCCTCGCTGCATCTGCCCTTCTCCAAGGCCACCGACGTATACGCATTCGGGTAACTTGCTTCTTCACATGTAATACGGTACTTACCTACCTCAATCGGGTAGTTTCATACGACAAAAATAAATTAAGTCGACGTTTCAATACAATCAAATATTGAAAAATAATTATACTTTTATTCAACGATCGATCGATACACTAAATTTTAGTTTTTTGTAGCTAATTATTAAGAAATATGTAAGCTATTTGACACAAAAATATAATGACGTCATAACTCAGTTTTTCATAGAAAAGTTTAGTTTTTGACGTTTGGATAAAAGTATTGAATTTGACTAGTTGGAAACTACCGTATTATTTTGGCATTTTAACTTCTCGTTTGCGATATGAATATATCTATAGAAAACACATTGTGTCTCGCGCAGATTTGCGCACCGGCAAATCAACAAGTATTTTTTAAATTATGATCATACTTTCATTAATTGATTTGACGATATACTATACTCGGAATTTTAATTCCATTCCAGATTTGACAATTTCAGTGTTGCAACGTTATGACACGTAATAAATAGTGACGTTGCGAAATTATTCGATATGGAAATCGAATATTTCTGAATCGATTCCTCTCGTTTATAAATTTACTCTCTTAAACTAAGTTTATCAAGAAATAAAATATTTCTGAACCTATAATTTAGTTTTGACAATTAATTAACGATCTGAGACTCTTCTTTTGCAATTGTGTGTGTAATTAATAAAAAATGTGATCATGAAGGAACGTGACAAATAAAACAGACATTTTACAAATTGTCGCCGTCATCGCTATTGCTATCGCCGTTACTCTATGTATCATTTATAATGAATTGTGTCTTTGATATTTATTGTCAATTAACATATCTAGCTTACAAATTTTTTCTTCTTCTTTGAAAACATGGGATACACATTTGGGCCATTCGGTAGCCGTAATTTTTTGAATGCCTTCCTGAAACTGATTCACTGATTGTTTATCGATTTTTGTGTTCATCACTACACTGTTATATGTGGTATCATTATTTCACAAAATGACAATAGGTCAAATCAGGAATCGAATTAAAATTCTGACTTTGGAAACTACCGTATTATTTTGTCTCGTTTGCCGGTATATGAGACACTTTAAAAAACACATTGTGATCTGCGCTCCGGCATATCATATAAGTATTTTTTTAATTATAATCATACTTTCATTAATTGATTTGACGATATACTTATTATTCTTTCGGATCGCTTGTGTATGGGAATTTGTATGTTCATATAAGCAATCACGACACAGGAGATAATCTATTTATTGGATGTAATCTCACTAGGCTAATGTTCTATTTGTTTCCAGCACGGTATGGTACGAGTTGTTGTGCGGAGAGTATCCATTTAAGAGTCAGCCGCCGGAGGCAGTCATCTGGCAGGTCGGGAAGGGTGTCAAGCAATCGTTAGCCAATATGCAAGCTTCTAGAGATATTAAGGTAGGACAGATTTCTTTTAGAGCAAAATATAAATCTAACTTTTTAAACTTTAGCGTTTCATGTTAACGTAATATAATTATACGCCTTTATTAACGTGATAAGAAATTATTTAAGTACCTTGGAAGGCTTGACATTTCAATTTAGTTGCACAGGTCGTAGTCGCAGGCAGACTGATGATGCAATGTCTCAGCTGTGACATCATATCCTCAGTCTGCTAAAATAATTACATTTCGCGTTAATACCCACGTAATTATATTATATTAAATTATAAATCTGTCTGGTCAAACTATTATCAAAGTCAAAAAAGAGGTGTAAACTTTGAATCACAGCTGACCAAAACTTCCCTTAGAGTACTTGTAATCAATGATTAAATGTCTGTTTCCATTCGCAGGACATTCTAATGCTATGCTGGTCGTACCGGTCGTCGGAGCGGCCCGACTTCCCCCACCTGCTGACGACGCTGCAGAAGCTCCCCCGCAAGCGCCTGGCGCGGTCCCCGTCGCATCCGGTACATCTCTCGCGCTCCGCAGACTCCGTGTTCTGAGAGCGGCTCGGGGCACTCTGCGTGCGGCCCTAGCACTGAGATTGGAGCCTCGGTCCATGGCCAGTGTGGTACCGTTGTTTCTCATGTAATTAACGAAATATACTCCATATTGCTCGTCTAATGTATATCAAAGTGTAGATAAAACTACAAAATACTACATGGTTCAAGTTTAAGCTTTCAATTTGAGTTTTCAATTTGAATGAATAGGCAGAAATTCTCCATACACAACCAGCGGTATGGCAGACATGGTCTTCCAACCTGGTCTTATAACACCAACCAACTTCCAAAACTTCCAATTTCTGTATTAAAATTATTAATGTTTTATGACGTGTTAAAAGCCCAACAACATCTTAGATTTTTCTTAGTGAAAGATCAGAATAAATATACCAAAATGACTAAAAATAAACATATGAATAACGTTTTTCAACTCCTTTGATCTAAAGTGCAATGAGGACAATGGAACCACTCTAGCTAACCGACCTCTCAAGTATTCGCTCACTGAATCTCGTAAATCGACGAAATAAATATAACTATTTAAAACTATATTTATATTTTGAATTGTCAAAAATATTACTTTATTTTCAATTAGTTGAGAGAATAGTTTCTATATTAAAATCAGATACATATTTATTTTCATGTTAATTTGAATGTTAAGGTTTCATTACGAACTCATGAGAATCAATTTTAGTATTGACAATAGAGCATTCGGAATAAATGACATTAGTGTTTCACCATCCATTATTTCAGGGACAAACAAACAAATAACTCGAATACTATCATCGAATACTGATCACAATCTGTGTAAAACCAATCTTACGACATACAGAAACTGTTCTCTCAATAAATTAATTTAAAAAGTTATATTTCAGTATAACACAACAAACGGGTTTTCGATACTTAGTATAGAAAAAACATTTATAAATAAAAATGTAAAATATGTTAATAACGTCTATTGTAAGTATATCTTGATCTCTGAATAATCAATAGAATAAATTATATTTTCGTAATTAAAATAATAATTAAATCATGGAAAAAATGAAAAAAAAAAGTGAAAAATGACTGCTTTGTTGATAGATTGTAAATATATGTACAGTGTTACGATTTTGCTGTGATCGACGAATCGACTGTTCTTAAGTGACAAAGGCCATGTTTCGAGTCAGAAAATCAAATAATCAGTTACTTTTTAAAGCTCAATGGGGCTTAAATTATTTCAATAGACATTACTCTGTTCTCTTAATAGAAAATTAAAATGGTTTTTTGTTCCTTAGGGCAATCGATATGAATGCACTGATCTTTTTACATAAATTGTATATTCACCACGAGAAAGCCTTAATCATCAAATTAATTACTTGGTATATTAAGAAATATTATCAATTTTAACTTATATGTATAAGGTTTAACCCAAATTCAAAAGTAGTTAAAAGATTTTTCCTAGACTTGAAATTATTGCCTAACATCTGATAGCCAAAAATTTGGGAAACAAAGGTCAGTGTATTCAACATTAATCTTTCTAAACTAGGCTAAGAGTTGACATATTTCATACCTACTACATTATTTTTACAGGTTTTCTTAATAAAACGTATTATAATAGTCCCCTTGAAATACGACACGAATTTATTTGATATTACATAGTATAACGGCAGTTTCTTTTAATGTTAAACGCAAAATTATAATACAAGTTATTGAGAATATTGCAGGCAGTGCAAAAAAGCCTGGTTTCAAAAAAAGAGCAGAGAGAATACAAATTATATGACTGTACTTTAAATTTTTTTCAATTTTAGCCCTCAATATTCTCTATAACTATAGATAACGAAATATGTTTTGTAAATAAAAGAATTATAACATTCCTTTTTGTAGGTTGTTGAAGTTTAAAACTTGATAGTTACTATTCAAGCTGTAGTTCATCAGTTTGTATCTTTTTAAAAGTTACCACTTTCTTATATCGTTGCTAAGAGGCTTATCGTTAGTCTAGGCTGAAATACAGGCGATGTTTATACTTTTGGCAGGTACAAATGTGACTGGATGCAGTCAAAACATCTTCCAAAGTTACTTAGGGCCTGCCCTTATCCTAAAACTTGGGGTAATCATGTCAATTTCTTCCATGTCTATCAAACGCCGTCCTACTATGGTACTACAGTAGAGACTTCTCTAATCTCAGTGATTGCAAATAAAAACTTTTAAGTAGCCAATTCTAGTCACATTTAAACCTGTTACAAAAAGTTCGTCATCAAGTCATCAATTAGCAAAAATGTATCATTTAAAATGAAAAAAAAAAGAAAAAATAACAGCTCATTATTTTATTGTTTACTAAATTATTGTTATTAAAGGAAAATTGTTCTGGTCAGTCGACTCCTATTACGATAGTTTGTAAAATAATGCGCTGACGTCGCGCAGTGTACATAGGAAAACGCGGGACGTCCGACATCTTGTAATATATATTTATTAGAAGAGAACAATGGTTGGAATGCAGACAGATGTAGTTATACATTATGTATTGAGATTTGAAACGATTAGGTTAGTTGCATTTGCCAAAATAAATTTCCGAATCACTGTTTTTAGTTGTTTTATTGTATAAATTATTTGTTATAATTATAAGTACTTGCTTCCCTTTTTTGTATTTCAGTACAGGCTGTATTTTGGAGAATATTTATAACTAGCTTCCATCTGCGGCTTACCCCTGGTATGTTGATAAAAGGTAGCCTATGTGCTATTCCGTAATGTATCATTTACCCGTGCCAAATTTCATCCAGATCGATCCAGTCGTTTTGGCGTGATTGAGTAACAACAGCCAAACATCGTAACTTTCGCATTTATAATTTAAATAAGATAAGATGGGAGAGGGCAGAAGTAGCAAGTTTGAGGATTTACTGAACTTTCAGTCAATAAGCATCTATATATGTAATACTTTCAAGTTAGGTACTTCATCGGGTTGAACTTTCTAAGTAGCGGTAAAGTATACATTGAGATACAATAAAAAAACTTATCTAAAAAGCTAAAAAGTTGGATTGTGTTGTAACTTGAACTTTTCAAGGATGGTTTTAGTTTTATCTAAGTAATGTAAAGATATTATTTTTAGCCTTTTGTATTATATCCATGGCTCTTAAAGTGCTATTCATTAACAAAGAGTTTACTCAAGTGCAGTTTTTAGAGTGCAATTTAAATGGGATTATCAGAGAAGAAAATAATGTTGAAAATAAATAATTGTCTTTGGTACTAGTTATGGCGCCAAATAGTTACGAAATTAAATAAATCTAAAATGTTACAAAAGTTAAAATACAAAAACTATGGGTGGTTGATAAACACATTGATTAAATACACCAGTCATATTAGCTTATGATAAATTATTATTTTTTAATCATACATGTGAAACATCAAACGTCAGTCTGCTTGATACATTATATTCAATTGCATTAGATGGAAGTTTACAAAAAAATCTAATTATATCGAGACAAAGGTTTCAGTCAAAATCAAAACTAAATTCCAAATACCTAAGATAACCATTTTGTATTCTAAAAAGAAAATCAATTTTATAACATATAATATATTAGAACTCCTGATTATCTGACTCTAAAAAATACATATAGGTACATATAATAAACTTAACATGTTTAAGTAAATCACTATAACATCTCAATCAGAGTAAGCTACAGACCTATCAGGCCTAAAGTTGTTGCCACAAAACAACAATAACTTTCAAATCAGATAACTGGTGAATTGGCTCATCATCTATCTATTGTAGATAAGTACTGTAGTCTTATTTATAAAACCACTTATCACATTTCTTACTGAAATTAGAATACAAATTTTTGAAAAGTATGTAATTAGTAGTTTTGCCTTGAGGCTCTACTAGTGTTTATCAGGGATAGTGTAGCTTCTTAATAACATAAATAGAACTTTTCAAATTGGTCATGTAGATGTAATCAATGCTTCCCTTTTTATAATATCATTATAGTTGAAACTGATATACATAGTTCACTAAACTATGGAGTAATTCAAATAATTAATTAATTTATAATCAATATAATGTTACAAATGCACATCACTTTAGTGTCTATGGTTGTAGAATCTTTTTTTGTCTATGTTTATTCTTTCTCTTTTGTAAATGTTATGAAATATGTCCAGCCAGTATCCCAGCAATATTAGTGCACATGCTCTTGATCTCATCATTACTGAGGTACTCAGACCCTAAGATTGCATTCCCTAAAGCTATTGTTTCTCTTAATGTGTTAGCTTTTATCCAAATCCTGCCATTCATGCCTGCTGCTAGTTCAAATGGCCATTGATTCTTTAATGAATTTATTAATGGACAATCTGGGTTTAATATCTTTCTAATTAGATTTAATGAACATTTAAACACAAAACCATCTTCCAGTACTCCCAAGCGACCCTTCTTTCCGTGAGAATCGACACAAACTATTTCAGGTTCCATATCCTTGCTGGCTACCAACATTTTGGCATAGACTACATCTCCAATCACCACTTTAGGTCGGTTCTTTTTGGTAGCGCCTTCGAAGGATAGATAAGATAACGATGCCGTACAGCTGCCGCCAACGTCTACTCTGAATACATCTCCCGCCTTTTGAACAACTATCCCTATGACATTTTCTCCGCGAGCTGGAATATATCTCTTCTGATAGTTGTCCACCCAATAAGTATTAGGAGCTCGTTTTCTCAAAGTGCCGGCTTTGGAAATGTAAATTCCGTCGACTTCCTTTTTCAATCCTGGTCCGAGTATAACTTTAGTTTTTTCGCCAGCATTTGCTATTTCTTCACATAAATCTCCAGGTAAAACAACGTCACCAACCTTCACCTTCATAGTTGTGCTCAGATTATGCTATTTAATTTAAAAACGGCGAATTTTTGTTTTAAAAGTAGACTAAAGAATCACATTGAAATGGTGGTTTCTAAGATGTTCAACACAACACACAATTCATAACCTCAAAAATTGTTTGTAATTTTGACGTTACTGACATGACACTGACAATTCATAGACCACATTTGTTTTATTTTATTAAGGGTTTCGTTTTGTTTTATTAACGCAGTTCAAATTATAAAATTAAGTATGGTATTCGGTAACAATATAATCCAACGATAAAACTTGCATATAATTTTCTTGCGTTTTAAGGTCTTGAGAATAATAAATAGTTTTGTGTATTAATTAATTAATGTAACAAAATAGACAATAAAACGCAAATAATTCAAATCCACAAACAAACCTAGAATTTTGACATTGACACTCATTGTACGACATTGACAGATGTTGATTGCAGCCAGTCAGCACGTGTTTTTATTAATTCGAATGTTTACATGTTGAGTTTATCGTATAATTAATTAAAAATGGTTGCGACAGTGCACAACGACGTGCTATTGTATAAAGGTAGTAATTTTTTCCGGCAGAGACTGTTGTTAGCCACTCTTAGCGGCCGTACAATTAAAATAGAAGAGATTCGTAGTACACATGATGACCCGGGTCTTCGTGAGTACGAAGTGAGTTTGATACGATTGCTGGATAAAGTGACTAATGGAACCAGAGTAGAGCTTAGTGAGACGGGTACTTCGGTGTATTACCAGCCAGGGATATTGGTCGGAGGACATGTCACACACAACTGTAGCCCGCAGAGGGGCATGGGTAAGTAAAGTTACTCTAATACACCTTTTCGCCGTATATACCATCAATTTTGTATAAGAAGCTGTTAATTATATTTTTCATCCTGTATACTGGAACATTCAATGTTAATCTTCTAAAGTGGTATTTTTTACTACTCATCTTGATCAGCAGTGTTTTACTATTGTTGTCCTTTATTTTTAACAGGATACTACCTGGAAGTGCTACTGGCGCTAGGACCATTCTGCAAGGAGCCATTGAATGTTGTCCTACAGGGTGTCACACATAGTGATCTAGATGTTTCCGTTGATAAGATCAGGACAGCGGCCCTCCCAGTGCTACTCAAGTTTATATTGGTTGACGATGGACTGGAGCTTAAAGTTGTGAGAAGAGGTAAGTCAATGTTTAATTTCTAGTGATCTGAATGTTGTGAGTCCATAGGTAAGTGCTGATGTCTTACCACCTGTTGTCAAGTCCACTCATTGGGTTACTGATTAAAAAAAAATATTATCTGGTTCAATAATGTCAGAATATCTTTGTTTCTTAGGATCTTAAAAAATGTTATATTGTCATATTTATTGTATCCATGAAAACTGAATAATTAATATCTCTAAGACAGGATGAAATGTGAAACAGTTAATAGATACACCTGTATGCCTTTTTGTATTCAATTAATTATTATATCAATTAGGGGAGTAATATTCTTTAAAATTAAGTATGAAATATATTTTTTTTTTCATTTTTTTTTTGTATAAGATAATCAAATTAAACCTTTTGCGTTGACTAGGAGCACCTCCTCTCGGTGGCGGAGAGGTAGTATTCAAATGTCCAGTGCGGCGAACATTGCGACCTCTGCAGTGGACACAATGGGGACTAGTCAAGAGGATACGAGGAGTTGTGTATGCACTGAGAGTGTCACCCACCATGGCCAACAGAGTAGTTGAGGCCGCTAAAGGGGTAAGTCAGTAGTAGTAGTAAAGTATTTTATAATATGCCTTTGAAATGCTGTATTGACACCCTCAAGATGTGGTATTGGAAGAATATGCTTTGTATTTCCTGGTTAGCATTTTGTCCTGATGTCTCAATACTGCGTAAACTCATAAATCTCCTCATAACTGTCATCCCAAACAGTCAAACATTGCAAAGAGTGCCTAAACAAAGTGAATACTTTGGCTAAATTGCAAGAAAACAGGACGGCAGAAGCCTTGTCCGATCTTATCTACACTACTTTAATTCTACTATTCACAAAGCCCACCCCACTACCAATGACTGAATGAAATGGAAGAAGTTTGTACATACGAGAGGATGTGATACAAAAGGGTGGTTACTATTCTCAACAATGAGGAATATTACACAAGGAGGATGATTACCAAGCCTATAATTAGATCACTTAGTATTTTATTTGGAGCAGATCTTGTGTTTATAATTTTGCCAATGACTGGGATATTGGTTTGACAGCTTTAACCTTTCAATTGTGGTAATTAGAGACAAAATAGAATGAAAACAGGTGTTAACTTGGGCTTGATGAATAAAATTTCACAAGGGATTGAATATGATGCTTTGATTCATACTTATTAAAATACTATTTTATAATAACGTATTTTGATGGTTCCAGGTTATGCTGAAATTCCTCCCAGATGTATACATTAACACGGATCAGTGCCGCGGTTCAAATGCAGGCAAGAGCCCCGGCTTTGGTATCAGTCTCGTTGCTGAAACCAATGAAAAGACCTTCTATTGTGCTGAAGCTGTAAGTTAATTTATATGTTATAAGTACCATTTTTCATTTTGTACTTCATGAAAATTTTCCTGATTTTCAAACAAAAATATATTCATCTGAGAGATAAATAAAAACTTCACTGAATCTGTAATAATTTCATATAGTAATGAAACATTCCCTTAACTCAGAAATTTATTTACAAAATGAATAAATTCATAGGAATTATTCGCAAAGAGTGCTATAATAAGTTTAATAAAAATAAAAAGTTTATTTTCCCACCAATACTGACCAATTTAGACTAGACAAATTACATTCATGAACTTCACCTATAAGGAAAAAAAATACTGAACAACTATTTTAAAAGTAATTGAAAATAACGACTTTTTCACCTGAATAAGCAGAGGAAAAGCTCTAGACTAGTTTCAACTCAGAATGATACTATAAACGCCTTCAAATGCACGTCATCACAAAAAGCACCGTTGTCTCTGTTCATTCACATAAGTTTTTCAATAAGTTTTGATATGTCACACGATAGAATGCTATACAAAAATATTTTTTATTTATTTGTGTCCAGAAATCAACAGACGTAGGTACAGGAGAGATCACACTCCCAGAGGACTTAGGCCGGGAGTGCGCGCAACGTTTATTGGATGAGATTTACCGCGGCGGCGCGGTCGACTCCTCCTTTCAATGGCTGCTCGCTCTGTGGATGGCGCTGGGACAGAAGGATGTTAGCGAATGTATTGTAAGTTCATATTATATTAACACTTATGTCAGCACGTATTATATGATTAATTTGTAATAGTGGTAAATTTTATTGCTTAACACCTGGTTCTGAAACAATTGTATTGTTTTTTTCTTGAATCTATTGCCAACCAGTGTTAAAATAATATAGTTTATATATTTTTTAAATTCTATTGTTGTTGTGTTGTGTTTTGCCATGTGAGTGAGGTGACCGGGAATTTTCCTCCTCCCCATTCCTAATTTGGAAATCCCCTACCCCCAGTTATTGTGGGGGATTGTGGTTTATGTGCTATGAAAAATAGGTAATATATAAATAAATACAATGTAACTAAACTCAAAATATTTCTTTCCAGGTGGGTCCACTCTCAGACTACACGATAACATTCCTGCAACACCTCAAAGAGTTCTTCGGCGTGATGTTCAAGTTGGAGGTTCAACGCTCCGATTCTGATGACGAAGATTCTGATGATGAGGGCGTCACACCAGCCAGCAAGATCAAAATGACCTGCGTCGGTATAGGATACGTAAATATTAGTAAACGAACATTGTAGTTATTGTAAATAAAAGTAGTTTTAAGATTTTTAAGCAATTTTATTTATTTAGAACTCATACCCGAATCGGAACTCATGCAACGTGCGGGTCCACGAGTCAGGCCCCATGTAAAAATCAGATCTGAGTCGTTCTAAAAATGATAGCGATAAAATAAATAGATTTCCGCCACGGTTCTGTGTAAGTCACATAAACCTTTCATTAGAAAAGAATCAAATTCTTCAGCGCTTAAAAAATATAGAAATCTTTGCGATGTGAATTGAACTAAGGCTCCTTACTAACGTTGGTGTGATTTATACCGACTTCAGCAAAGCTTTCGACATAGTCCCCGACAATATCAATAATAGTAAGTTAGCTCCTTGTTAGCTCATGGCTTTATCAGTACCCTGTTGCGTTGATTAGTTTTAGTTTTGCAATAGGAGCTTTTGTGAGTAGGTAGATTCAAACAGCACAGTATCCCATAACTTCGGGTGGTCCCCAGGGTTCGTGCTTGGCCCCTATCCTCTAAGTAAATATTATCTCTTCGCTAATAACCACGAAATTTATAAGATCATTATAGGAAGATGTTAACTTTCTGTACGATATAAATCTTAGAATGTATTCTTACTTCTTAATACATTCAATTTACATTACATTAAATTTACACCACTTTGTTTTACGAGTATATTAGATTCTCCAGAAAGTTCAACTCTTAAAAAACCAGCAACGCACTCGGAACTTGATTGGCGTTGCATGGACAGTTGGACCATGGGCGGAGCCGATTGTTTACCATCAGGTAATTAGTCTGCTAGTTCGCTGTCCTATGTCCTATCACATAAATAAGAATCCAAATCCAATGGCTGGATAAACCCCTTTTTAGGTGCCCAAATTGAAAACTGATCATAGACAGGAATGCATTTGTACTGTTGAAAGATTTTTTTTATTTTAGACTTTACAAACAAGAGTGGGAGACCTCAGAATACAGAACAAACCTGTATTCTGAGTGGGAGACAGAGAGGTGAAAGGTGACAAATACAGATTTTACAAAAATAACAACACAGCTAAATTATAATATTTTTTTATTTGTCTCAATAATCTTAAAACTAAAATTATAAAATAATTAAGGCACATTCTGAAATGTATGTAATTCCACAACAGCGGGTACATTCAGGATCTCGCTCTGCCTTTACACACGTCTACGAACTAACAATTTATCAGAGTATATTATTATTGGCAGTGTTCGTAAGAAAACGATACAAAAGTACCATAAAATTGACTTAGAATTATAATTACAAGGAGTAAACTGATTTTTTACATAAAGACAGAATATATTGCTAAAAATAAAAAGGAAAATAAAAAAAGTTTCGATTTCGACATGTCAAATTTGAAATTGTCAAATTTTACTTGTCAAAATAAAATTGACGTATATGTAGGTAGGTAGGTAGTTGACAATAAAAAGATAAGTTTTGTTTAGATCATTAGGTTACTTGCTTACACTCCTTTCCTAAAATATTAAAAAATTTAATTTATATTCGTTCAGTCATCATTACAGAATATAGTATCACATTGATTTTTACAAATTTTTGACATATTATTGTGACCATTAACAAAATACATTAATGTATAAAATATATAATATAGATTGAAAAGTGAAATAATAAGAAGGCTGAGAAATTAAGTTACAATCTAAATTTTTATTTACACGCATTAAATATGTAGGTATGTAGAACTTTTTAGGACATTTCAAAAGACCCTATTCAAACTTGTAAGAGTGTCCTCGAGAAAAGAAATAATTTAAAATCAGAACATGTTTTGACAGTCCCTATAAAAAATCAAATTTCTTGAACGCAACTAAACGTTTAATTTATCAATTCGTTCCTAATTCATTTTTTCTACTTTCCATCATCTTCTTTCAGACATCTTTCTCATCACACCCAAGTCCTGCCGACCAGTTACAAATTCCTCCAACGGGATCGAAGCTCAATCCTTTAGGACAGATGTATTCCCAGCCGAGCAATGAACCATTCTCAATGCGAGCGCATGAGATGAATTTCTTGCAAGATTTCGGGTGAGGGAAGTTACCGATGTCCAGACACTCGATGCGACCTGTGGGGAAAATATAAGTAAGATAGTGTCGTAAAAGAAAAGAAAAATTCTTAAGTAGTAACAAAGCGTGTGAGAGCCAAGCTTCGGTACGAATGGGTCGGCTCAATTGAAATGACCTCACAGAAAACTGGCATGAAATGATCACAGCGTTATGTTTTTCCTCGTGTGAGTGAGGTTATCGGAGGTCAAATCCTTCCCCAACCCCAATATCACCGAAACCATAAGCCTAATTCCCAAAAGTCCGGCAACGCACTCTTAACTCCTCTGGTGTTGCGGGTGTCCATTAGCGGCGCAGATTGTTAATCATTAGGTAATCCGTCTGCATGTACGCTGATCTATGACATAAAAAGTGATCTCATTTTTCCATTTTCAAGAGAGTCAACAGATAGCCCTGAACTAGACATTTGAAGAAAATTCGAAGAAGAACGAAGAAGTCTTCTCTATAACCCAGCAGAAAAATGAAGTTAAATCTTTGTAGATACTTGATTGATACAATACTTTAAGTAGCGAGCTTTCTTTAGCATTAACATTTAAATCATATTATATGACATGTATCAACGAATATGTCACAAACTTACCATCTTCTCTCATCACGATCTTGGTTCCTTCAACATATTTGACGGCAACCTTTTCATCGCTGTCGTCATAGTAGTCGTAGTTTGCGATGGGCCTGTAAGTCTTCTTTGGTCCTTTGGGAATCTTCTCGAAAGGTTGTTTCGATGGCACTCGTCGTGGTACGGGAGTAGAAGAAGGTACGGGAGGGTCCGTCGGTCGCAGAGTGGTTGAGATCTTACGTTGGAGTTTCTTTCTGATCACCTTCCTTGTTGGCTGAGTGGCGGGCGTTTGTGGTGTGGTGACCGGTGACAGATACTGGTATTCAGCTGTAAAGATAATACGAATTTTAAAAAAAAGGTTTTATTACTATAAATTAAAGTCAGTTGGTCTTTAGCGCCAACGCTAACCAGTAGGCTGCGCGACGTCGCCGCGTTCGCGCACGCTGCTCATGAGGAAGAACCCCTCTGTGGTTCGAAACTAGTAGAGCTTTTCTCAACATGTACACGTGAGTAACCCGCGAATTTTAGTTAATTCAGTTGGTCTTTAATCACTGATGCTCTGAATTCGATATTTGGGAGAGTTTAAGGTATCTGTTGACGAGGTATTTAGAAAGTAATCAATAGAAAACACACTCACCATCATAAGTCTTTGTAACAGGCGACTCCAGGAGATATTCTCTGGTAAAGTACGAGGGCTCCTGACTGGATCCAGTGTAACCAACAGTGGAGTAGCCAGTGTCCACAGGAACTGGTATTAACTTCTCTGTTCTGTACCTTGGAGTGGAAGACCTTTGGACTCCAGTGTACCCTGTAGAAGCATCTGTTGAAGACGGAAGGTATCTAGATCCACCTCTTGAGAATTTAGTCGTAGCAGTTGAAACTCTTGGCGAGCTATCAGTAGGTGTGTCTGCGAACGTAGTTCTCTCAAAGTATCTTGTGGGAGAAGGAGGTGCTAATGACGAAGAAATCTTAGGAGCATTCAATTCTGTAGGTGCCACGAAAGTATTCAGTGAAGACTGCACGTATTCTTTGCTTATTGTGTTCTGGTAATCTGTTGAGGGGAACTTCGGTACATACGTCGGAGATGTCTTTGATACAAATTCTGTCGAAGTGTCCAAATAGGTATTCACTGTTTCAGTGTTAGTTGGGAAGTTAGTGGCGGTTGCCTTCGGGAGGTATGTGGAAATTTTAGAGTTGTAGTCACCTCGTGTGTTGTACACATCTCCGATTGTTGTTCTGACAAAGTCTTGGTTCGTCGCTGTGTTAGGGAAGTTGGTAGACGATGACCTTGGGCTGTAACTTGTAGGTGTTACTTTAGAATCGTATGCAGATGTAATGCTGTAATCATTTGCATTCGTTCTTACAAAGCCAAGATTTGCAGTGTTAGCTGTGTTTACAGTATTAGGGAAAGAAGTTGTCTTCGGTACGTCGAATGTATTGGTGGAAATTTTGGGAGCATCGAAGGCCGAAGTGTAAGGCTCATTGGACGTAGTTTGAGCATAGTCAGTCTTGTAAAATACTGTAGAAGTGGTTGGAGCCTTTGGAGTCTCGAAGTCATTTGATACTTTCGTTGCTTCGAAGTCTACAGGGTTCTTGTAAGCCGTTGTCTGGTCAAAGGTATTTCCTAAAGTACTCTTGTAAATTGGTGTGCTTTGATAGTCATCGTAAGTTGGTGTTTGACTAATGTCAGTATATTCATTGTATTCCCGGCTCGAGTATTTGTATTCTACGGTAGTTTGTGTCTTTCTTGTCGGTTTGATTTCTTCCTCGAAATCTGGTATGCTTGGTATGGGTGCAGTAATAAGTTGGTGAGCTGCTATAGCTAAAGCGGTTTCAGCACTGTAATCTGAAAGAATATTGGTATATTCAGTAAGCGATCTTTAAGAAGATGGTTTAAGAAATAGATTTTAAACGAGTGTTGAAAGTGAAGAGATAGATGTATTTTGATTCAGTTTTGTCTTATTTCCAGAAACTTTTGTTTTGTTTATGAGTCAACCGTCAAAGTCGTCTTGTTGCCACGTTGGTTACATACAATTATATGTTCGACATGGATGAAAAGCTAATACCAGATTAGTTTGTTTTTAAAATCAAAGACCAAATCTTTTACTTACCATCAGCAGTACTTTTTGTCTCCGTGGTCGTCTCCTCCTGACTCTTCTGCTTCAGCAAGTCGTTGAGCTGGTTCTGTTTGATCGTTGCGCTGTATTTCTTGCTCTGTCTCTTGTTCTCTTCTTCGTTTGTCGCTGAAGGATTCTGGTCCTTCACTTCTTCTTTCAAGTTGACCAGAGGTCGTCTTTGGATTTTGGTCGACTTCTTCGGTTCTCTTGGTTCGAGAGTTGGGTCTTCGATTGCGTCTATTACAAGATACATGATAAATTATTGCTTAATGTTTTGGTGCAAAGTTAGAGTAAAGTAAAGTTTTTAAAATTGGTTTATATATATTTTCGCTAATTTCGTTCAAGTCACTATGGGCCTCTTATACAAGAGCAGCGTGCGCGTCGCGGCAACGCGAATTAATAGAGCTTTTCTCAGTTTAGTCACGTCAGTAGGTCGTTTCAGTATATGAAGGTATGTCTAACGATAGTTACTATTTTTTAAAAAAAGTTAAGAACCTAAATATTTGTTTAAGATCTCTTTAGAGCATATCTATAGGCATAACAGCTCTTTGTCCATAAATGTCAGTATAAAGAAGTTATCAGTATTTAACTATTACAATAAGTTAAAATAACGTGCTTACCAATATCGCCAATATCTTGTAGGGACTCTTCATCTTCATAAGCGTTGGTGACCGCTTGGGGAACAGCAGCGGTTGGAGTTTCAGTGGTTGAAGTGGTAGTGGAAGGAGCAGCGGTCGTGGTGGTAGTAGTGGTTGTGGTCGTTGGAACTCCAATACGACGTCTGCTGGCGACACGGAACGGCCGCCTTGTCACCACTGTTGATGGTGTTGATACAGACGTTGGTGTGGTTGTTGAAGCTGAAGCAGTTGTTGCTGTAGCTATAAGAAAAATACAATAAAATCAATTATTTGTTTATTTGATTTTTATAGTTCTTCCTTTTATGTTTCGTTTATTTTTCTCTAGGTATGCTTTTATTATTTGTGTGTTAATGTAAGTGGATCAAATCTGTGTTAACATAAATGATTAAATAAGTATGGGTATATAGGCAAGACAAGTCCCATTTTAAAAAAAAGTATGATTTTTTATTTCTCATTGCGTTCATATCTATGGCGAAGATATAAATGCAAATAAAAGGAATGATTATCATTTCACAGTTACTTCTCTGAAAAAACAACATTCAACTAAGGCATAGTTAATTACCGACTATTTTATTTTCGTTACTTTAATTACACCACTCAAAACACAAGAGTACAACCAGCATTTTAAGCTCTACTTATCACAATTTAATCTGGCGTCATAATCACAAATGATGCATGCAATATACACTTTGTGCCAAGGTTAGAAATGTTCCAACAAGTGTACCTATTGTTTGGGATCAAGCCGTGAAATGGCCGGACGTAGGCGCCGGCCAAAGAGATACAATGTATCGTTTCAATTGATGCTGTGTTGGGAGTATATTGTACTGGTGTCAGTATTGATTTTGAAGAGACCTTTGTTTCAGGTTTTATGTTTAGTGTACATTTAAGATAGCTTCGACGATAATATTAAGTGTTAGGACGGTTATAAAGGACGAACAGGAAGAACTGGCGCCAGCCATGCGAATATTTGCGAGTTCCACAAATTGTTGTTACAGGTCTAGTTGTGATGTTTTTATGAAATTGTATGTTTGTTGACGCACACCCGACACAGAACATTATCCCAATGTGAATTCGGAATAATGCAGAATCACAATCGCTTCGAATCGATTGAGAGATATTGCTTTATGTCAGTGTATCATTATTCATGTACAGAATTCATCTTTATTTTCTTATCTGCATTTGGTATGTATAACTGTGCAGATTGTCCATATGTCATATGTATCTCTAAATATTCTTTTTTTTTAAAGTACAAGTGCCCCACTTTAGGATTTTCTCCTGTGTTGTGGGTGCGTTTACAAACATGCAATGAAACAACAATTTGTGGATCACACAAAGTGTTGTTCCGTGCGGGAATCGAACCCGCGACACGTTGCACGGCAGCCAGTTGCCCAGCCACCGCATCAACCGTGCAGTCATATTAGACATCCAATTTGGTTTAATCGACTCATCACAATATTAATTGGTTCGTGACTAAATGTCAGTCAAGATCGAGATGAGGATCGCATGTTCACATCATTAGTATTGTCATCGCAATACAAAAAATACTACACTAAAATAATTACGTAACTTGTGCTCATGCAAATACGACTTTGTACAAAGACAGTGATTTATTCCCTCCGATAGCTCTGTTGATTTCGTTAGTTATTGAGTTTATTAGGTTCCAAGAGAAAGGTGACCTGATCTGATCTGCTTGCCTGCTTATGAACTCTATCGTCGTTACTCAACATATATGAAACTATTATCTATTGAAACAAAAATATTATTATAGGTACCTTCATTTGTTTCATTGACAAAAAATTAAACAATTCTAGATGAAATTCTGAATTAACTACCAACACATTGAAATATTATCAGACGCGTATTTTTTATTTCATCATCATCACATCATAAGCCCATAAGTGCCCACTGCTGAGCAAAGGCCTCTCACACGGAAAAGGTTTGAGCATTAATCACCACGCTTGCTCAATGCGGGTTGGCAATTTAAAACTTATAATTAGAGATTATAAGTCCAGGTTCCTCACGATGTTTACCTTCACCGTATGTCAGAGGTGTCTAAATAATCATAGAAAGTACATATAACTCGGAAAAAGTCACATTGGTACTTGCCAGGTTTCGAACCCACGCCCTCATGCATGAGAAGCGGGCTCCTTAACCTCAGGGCCACCACGACTTCACCATGATTTTTTATTTAGTCTTATTAAAAATCAGTATTTACTTATTTAGTTTAAAGAATTTATGTTTAAGAGAAGAAGGTACTACGTACCGTTAGTATAAAATGTACCTAGTGAATTGTGACGTTACACAAGATTTTAAACTTAATATACTTATAAAGTAAAAATTATGTATTTGATTCAGTAAGAAAAGAAAAGAATGTTTTGTATCAAACTTAAAGGTGGTCGTTAAAAATAAGTTTTCATATAGTCACAGTCATATATGTATTTTAATGATAACCACCATAATACATGCTAGTAGCATATAAAAAGAACAAGATATTTAAAAAAAAACGAGAGCAAAAGTCTAATCTAATTAAACGTTCAGAAGCTTAATCTTAACAAGCGTATGAGTAACCACAGTAGTACTTAACCACGATCAAACGATATCGTAATTAACTGACAAGACGACACGCTGGTAATTATCCATATCTCACGGTAGCTGGTACTGATGATACCTATGTTAACATTAACTAGTTAAGTTAAGAAGTTAATTACACGTGGACACGGTGTATGCTGTATGGTAATTAAGAAATTACTGTCTCGTTTATTAAGGTTGTGTTTGATACCCGGATACGATTTGATTGGTTTTAGTGACGTTTTTGTATTTGATAGGATGGTTTATTTTAATTATTATGTAATCATTTATGTGCCTCTAGAACTAAAATGTAACCAGATTAGTCATCGAATTTTGCGGTGACATATCACGGCCGGCCTTAGTCGAGCTCATGGTGCGGAGCGAGAGGAACTGGGAAGTCTTGTCCTTCTGCTAAGCAGTGAGGCTCGCAAAGAATAAGGAGGTGTGCTTGAGAGAGCTATTCTTCCTATACTCCAGCCGTCGCAGTAGGCGACACTCTAGGCGTCGGGGATCGAGCGACGATCTCAGACCGTAATCGCGGATCTGCGGACGGCGGGTAAGGATAGCTCGCCGGCCAACCAGAACCAGACCTGTGCGTACGACTTGTAGCGTTCAAAGAGCCAATAGGCCCAACAAGGCCGAAGGGCCGAAGCTGGTTTTGCAAGGCAGGCGCAATAAAGTATAGTGGCAATCCTCCCTATTCCCCATGCCTTAGGAATGCAGAGATAATTTAGTGATTATTGAAGATCCTTCTCTATGAGACTCATTCTCTTAAAATACTATTTTATTGCACTCTACTACTTTCTTGTAGTTATGTGTACAAATTCAATTCTACTGTTACGCAACAAATAACTATACAAACCAATTAATTCTAACCAATCAATCAAAAGCGCGCGAATCTACCTGTCACGCAACGTTCTTAATAGGCAAAGGTAATTGTTCATACGGCCTATAAACACAAATGAGGTTTGAAAGCTAAGGTGTTAATGTATTTATTTCCCAACGTTGTTGGGTTTAAACGCCATGGTAACACGTGGCTCAACCAGAGCGTGGGAATTGTAAGGGTTATAATGCAATGTTGCGTTTTTATGTAAAACTGTCTAATGCTTGACATGCTTTGCCTTGCATTATGTATTTAAATGAATTGCAATTCCGTTGGTATGTATAGCAGATTGCGAGAATAATTTTTATTTTTATTTCGTTACTTATAAGGGGGTTTTTCTCTGGCATTCCCTTTCGCCTCACCGTGAAAAAGACATTCAATTATCCCTTCCCCTCAAAAATACACCTTATGTGTTTTGGTTCAAGTCAGATATGTTCCAAAACAAAATCTAATAGAACATTTTATGAAATGTGGCTTTACATTATATTAAATGTCCCGGGACAAAACTTCAAAAGTTTCGGTCTGTAATAAAATGAAATACGTAATAACCGATAACTCCAGACTTCGCAGCCGAGATGTTTTTTTTTTCTAAATAATTTATTAACTTTTTTCCATTACAAATTAATATTGAGATGCTCATATAGAACTAATGTACTCATATGACGACTAGGGTTGCAAGTAATCTAGTTTCTCACGCGACGGTAACTATGGGACGATTGCGAGATGCCATGCGTAGGGGGCAACCTTGATGTAGATGACATAGTATTTGTAAGGTTATTGCGACATTTATTGTTATATTTATTTAAGTTGTTCGTTAGTTTTGTAAACGCTAGAGGGCAGCTCTGCAGGCAGCCCTGTGTTCAGTTAAAGTTTTTTACGTGACGGATATTTTTCTACAAGTTTTGTCTTCACAAAGATGAAATACCATGTGTACTACATGGTATTTCATCTTTTATTAATATGTAACTAGCTTCCGAACGCGGCTTCGCGTTCGTGGTATGTTGATAAAAAGCAGCCTATGAGTTTGTCCAGGATCTATCTACATACCACAACCCAATCCGTCTAGCCATTTTTGCGTGAAAGAATAACGAGCATACATCCATACGTTCTCATAAACTTTTACATTGGTAATATTAATAGGATATCACGAATTAATTTTGTTTATAAAAAAACTACTAACGCGAAACTAAACTATTCTCGCGCGGTTTCACCCGCTGCTCGGCTTCATTTACTTGTAGCGTGATGTTTTATAGTCTATAGCACTCAGGAACAAAAAGAACAAAATTTAGTTATAAATGTTACAAATATAAAATAAGAATAACAACAATCCTGGATAGAATCGTTTTTTTTTAATATAAATTTCCTCCATTTTAATTTCTTCACAATCTTCAGCACACATCATCACACACGTAATTACTTCATAATTATTATCCAACGCCTTTCCAATAATGTCGCCTCACCCGCTCATATTACGTGTTCACAACGAAAGTGAGTTGCTATCGCCAGCGGTTACACTTGACCGGTCGCTTTCACCTCATCTCAGTTGAAAATCACTATTGTTATCGCCAATTCTCTTCTGTATACGTAGTGCGGATGTTTTTACAAACAATAGTTGCAAGAATGGAGTTGGTATTATGTAGATTCTTTATTGTTTTTACAGTTAAAAGTGTGGATAATTGAAGTGGATTGTTTTGTTTCTTTCGGCGTTTATTTTTGCTGTTGTTATAGTGACTTTCGATTTTTAAAGCTTGTAATGTATTTTACGACGTTTTTAGATTCGCTTTTGATTCTTTACGCAGAAATATAGAACTGAGTTTAGATTTTTTTCCTCTCTGAATTCAGAGATTCTTTTTGTTTGTGTGTAAAGTGTAGAAAGGTCGACAAAACTAAAGTTCAAAGTCTAAATGTGACATAGTTTTATCATATCTTTCCTAAACTAATAGACTTTTTAAAAACTAGATAAGTATAGCAAAATATCGTGTGCAAAAATCTCAAGGAAAAGCAAACCAACCAATAAATATCTCAAATTGTGTAACGCCATAATTTCTGTACAGAATGTATAAAGATTATCCGCAAATAGGAAACTACAGAAATGTCAATTACGGACGTTTACAGACACGCGACCATTTTGTCGAGTCTGGCGGATTGTCGATTACAACAGTCTGGGGAAATACTCATCAAATATGAGGCAATGGTGCTGGACGGAAATGTGGTTTTCCATCGTATAGTAGTCGTCAAGGTCGTTTGTATTTCATAATTTACCTCTAATGTGGCTGATTGACCACACTTTTTACCATAAAATTTGTAGGTACATACTAATATGTTGTAATCTTTGTTGAATCGATTGAGTCTAAGTGATATCTGACCAGGTAATATCAATAATTACGTCCCACAACAGGTATATTGATGTTTCTAGTCAGAAGGCAAGGGCTAATGTCTGCATCAATATCCAGAAGGCTAGTTACTTATATATTTCTCACTACAAAAACTGTGGTGTAACTAAGCGGCTAAGGACAATTAGCAATGTCTGAATAACAGCTTTTTTTGTGAGGTTTCAAACTACTTCTCTCGGGTGAGGCGAGAGGTAATGTCACTCTTACTGACTAAAAACTCCCCTGTTCCTTCTCCAGCTTTATTCGGCTAACAGCTAGGCGCATGCCTAATTGAACGTAATTTGCATATAAGTAGTATGTGGCATATAAATTTATCGGGCAATTTTAGTATCACCTATTCAAATTGGTTAAAAGCCAAGAGAAAGATGGAACAACTTTTAAATAATAAATTAGTACAGGTGCTATGGGCGGAGTTGTAAACACTATTTGTATTTCCAAACAGTTTGTCACCATATACAAATCATTCGCCAGATCATTACCATACGCACTGTCAAGGTTCTGTCCACGCCATGACACCATTCTGTCACATAAGTCAGGATTATTGTATTGTCATGTTGGTACTACATGTTTGGTTATTGTGATGTGTTTAGATATTTTTATAACTGGTTACAACTTCCAAATGTTAATATTGTGGATCGAGAATGACAAGAAAACCATGAGTAAAAGATTAACGTCGAAAAAAAGCAAAAGGATGAACGAGTCAATTTTTTTTATGGAATAGGAGGCAAATTAGCATGCGCATCACCTGATGTTAAGTGATCAGCGCCGCCCATGGACTCCTGCAACACCAGAGTAATCACAGGCGCGTCGCCGGGCTTTAAAAAGTAGTACGCACGTTTCTATTTTGTCATTATTATCATCGCAGGAGCATTTAGCTGTTTTTAATAAATGTCTGAGGGCAATAGGGATCTTTTCTTATCCGTAATTGTAATTCGTTAATGATGTTATTGTCAAATTGAATTCAATACCAGTTCATTCAAAAAGTCACATAAGTATGTAGATACTATATAATCTCATTTCCTCTTCAATCATTGCAAGACAATGACCGTTCTCTTCAAATACTATTCATAAGTACTCGAGGTCATTGCTACAACAGCTGATAATGAATTCTACCCTGATACTCGCTAACTAGACGAGTTTGCCTTACAGTAATGTTACAAATCGCTAAAAATTTCAGGGTTTCAACTAATCATTTGGAGATGGTTCATTTAGTGGACAGACGTGAAAACTGTTCAGGGTTATATTGCCAAACAACGAATGCAATTTATTTATTTCATTTTCGTTCGTTGCATTATTTTTTGTGTAGTGATTTGGTGATCGTTATTTCTTGTAAAACTGTTTAAATCTGTTTTGTATGAGAATCAGTAGTTATAAAGTTTTATCATTATTCTATCTGTGTTGTTGTGTTATTACCTATCTGAAATGTAATATATAAAGTAATCATAGTGTCAAACGTAACTTTTTTTTGAGTTTTATTAGTTTCATTTTTGATTCTTTTTTGTTTTTTTTTTCTCTTTTTCATACCTTTTTGAACATTGTTATGTGGAAACTGTTTTGGATTAAGTGTTGATTAATGTATTTAATTATTTTTATAGAAAAACCTGTTTGTTTCCCAAATTTAAATAAAATAAAATAGTGGGGGTCTAAAAGAGGTGCTAAACCAAAGAGGCTTTAAACGTTTACCACTTCGAGTAGAATCTAAGATGGAATTCAGTTATTTCCTCAAGCATTCTTAAGCCTTAAGCAAATGTTTACAAACCTTAAGTTATTGTAATAACTGGAGAAAGTTCTGGGTCAACACACAGTGCCGGCGTAGGTGCATCATTAGGCCGGTTACATAAGAGAGGTCCATTGTTGAGTGGAAAGCACTATGGGAACCTTAGGAGTGACATCATGTGTTTAATCTTTATTGTTTTAGGTGTGACGTGACACATGGGTGGCGAAATTCGAGGAGATTACATCAACTTAACCACATTTTTGAAGATTTGTTTATGCTCGTTGCTAAGCAACCGTTCGTTCTTGCCTTAGAAGATATTTGCGGTTGATTTCGCTAAGCACGATGTCACTTTAAAATTGTGAGTTGTGGTTGCAAACATGATAGTTGTGCACGAGTTCATGGGTTTAGCTTCCAGGAACTACTTACTGTAAGATATTATTTACCAGGTATTACAATATCTTGAATAAAAAAAAAAAATATTGCTGTTCGCTAACTTAAGAACGGCTGGACCAATTTGGGAAATTTGATCTTAAAACATCCTTGTAAGCCCACGGAAGGTTTAAAGGGTTCAAATATTAGTTTATTTTGAAGTGGTACGAAGTTCGTCTGCGTAGTTTACGATATTTATAATGAAGTTATGTCCAAAACACAGGAAAATACTTTTACCTTGTCAATGAGACTATTAGCATAATTTGAGGAAACTGAAAGTTCCGTACACTTTTGTCGACTTCTTCCGGGGAAAAAGTCTGTTGTTGTTATGTAAAGATGCGTGTAATAGGTACGTTCTCAACATTTGTTAGAAAGAATAGCTTAAAGAGGTATGTTTAAAAACAAAAGTTTTTAAAAAGAGTGTTGCGAAAATTAGTCTCTCATTAACACCGAATTAAATTAAGCTTAGTCCAAAATATTTAGCAGGGTTTCATGTAAACTCCAGTCGTAAAAATAAAAGGTACATTTTTAACCATCGAACACAGGTACAAACTTCACATTGCTATTGAGAATTTGGTAATTGTAGATTAAGTACGTTTTCACAATTTTGAGGATCAATGCTGATACCTAATGTCCCGTCTTTTTTCATAACTGCTAAAAGGCCACTCACACGAAGGTGTCAGCATTAATCACCAAAAGAGCTCTTAAACTTTTAAAAAGAAATTACAAGTCCAAGTTTCCTCTCGCTGTTTTCTCCCCATTTTTCAGTATCTAAAAGGTATCTAAGTAAACTTAGAAAGTACATACAACTCGGAAAAATCCACATTGGTACTTAAGAAGTTTTAAATCCACCTCTTCATGAATATTCGGGAGTTTTAACTTGCGGACCACCACGAGAAACCGTCTTGTTAACTATTAGCAAAACAAGCCGACTTTAGAGCAAAAGAGTCTCCTGCGTGCATTTAAAAGCTGTATACACAACATTGCGTGTTCTTGGACTTGCAACGTGCAGTTACACACCACTACCGGTGTGCCAGATATTGTACCACACTGAACTATTAAACTGATTTAAATATTTATCGCTCGTTACTCTGTCGTGTTCCGGTGTATTGTATAATGTTTTAATAACTTTAATATTCAGAATAGATGTTGAATTAGGTACGGTCTGTAGCATCTCATTTAATATTTAAAGAATTTTTTCCTTCCTTCTCCTGCTTCAGGCTGGCGGGCTTTATTGCGCTGGCCGCTACCCCAATCGAATATCAGCCCTATTGGGCTCCACCAGTGGTGGTCTATTAACTCTTTGAGGTAAGCGCTAAGAACGCTTTTATACTCGCCTTATGCTCGGAAAGATTTAAAATACTTACCTAAGTTTGCGTTCTTAGATTAGATTTTTAGACTTGGCTAACAATTCGATAAAGTAAAAAGGTGAATCTATTTCTGATGAATCTCAAAATTGTCTAAAAAGTTAGCAACGTGTTGTAATAGAAGGTTCTATAGCGAGATGTATTTTTCATTAGTAAATAATTATATTATTAGTTACATGCTTTGATAAGATGTTTTAAAAACTTAACTCTTGCTATGTCCACGAAGCAAACAAAACTACCTACTTACGTATACAATCATTTACATGGATATGTTCTCGCAAATATATTTAAAAAGGCCATTTATGCAGAATTCAGGCGACATTGTAGCCAATAAATATGTAAACTAGCATATTTCTGCAAGCCTGACATCATTCAGCCCAGTTTATTTTAGTATTTTGTTGATATCGGAGCCGACCGACCTCTATGGAGGTCTGTAGCGTACTGGCCAGTGAGGACAACGTCCCCAGAATGTCTAGGTCGAAGCTCTAGGCAGGTTTGTTTCTTTTTGTTCTTAGTACTTGCTCAATGAGTTTGTTTGGCATTCCAGCTCTAAAGAGATTATTACGTGCCAGAGTTTATTTACGATAAATTGTATGATTACTGTTTGAATTCAGAATTTTGTACAAAAGAGAAGTTATTTGTCATATTCGAAATTAGAATTTCAAGTTTTTATTTGTATCTTGTGCGTTGTTTGATACCGACGGTGCTTTTTTTATTTTTATCACCAGCTTGTTGAATTATACTGACCACCAGCATTTTTTATTTAACTTAGTTTTTATATTCATTGTGTAATAAACCTGCACCTTGCACAGGATATAATATATCACGCCTACAGTTCTCCAATAAACAGATATAAGTATAATAAAATTATATTTATACATACGACCACGATCCCAATCGCCTTGTTTTGTTTTTAATTCTGATTTTGTCCAGTGGATTTATAGCGTTTTGAGATCGATGATGTAATTTTATTTCCTTTTATTTTTATAACTCGTAAACAAACACTTTATTCATTCATTTGTATGTATGTTGTATTCAATGTTTTTTATTTTCAATTATTGTTTTCTTTTTTGAGTCTTGTATTGTTGTATTGAAGTCTAAAACATATGTAAATAAGAGTGATGATAATTGAAAGGATCTTGATTACAGAACCGTGTAATTGTCCCCTCAATATTTGACTGAATCAAGTTATTTTCGAAGCTAATTTTAGAGAAATGAATTGGTTTATTTTTTTAGCAACCACCTAATTAATTTTCTAACTCCGTGAAAAGTTTTTTGGAATAGAACGCAATTGTTTAAAAGGTATGTATGTGATATTATAATAATGTTTATAAACACAACCATTACTCTACGATACTGAAGAAAATCCTAGAATGTTTATATTTTTTAAAACATTTTCCACGCTTAAAAAAGTAAATACCGCTTATTTATGCTTTCGTCTTGTGATGTCATAAATAACATATAATTTTATTTATCAAATGAGTATGGTGATCGATTTCTCTTGTACTATTAAGGTCATGTACTAAGGTACTAGCTTACATAACAGTGCGGGTCAGAGGTAAGTGAGAGCTGCAAGTACCGCGAGTAAAAGTAATCGCTCACTTCAATTGTTTTTGCATAGATTCATCTTTCTAGGCGTGGTGTTGCATTTCTCACTCTTATTTTTATTCGTGGACGACGTAAGACTCTTTTTAAGGATTTCATATTTGACGAAAGCTAAGAATCTGTAGTAGTAGTAGCTAACCTTTTTAAGTGAGGCCTCCTCCGACCCTGCTGCATGCGTGGAGGTGTCTCAAAGTGTACAATGGACAGCCAAAGTATATGACATTCAACTTATAGTTTGCATTGTAGAATTTTCTATTCTAAATATAAATTTGAGTGAGTGTCTGATCAAAACAGGTTTATTTCGTTGTAAAATTCGGATTTCAAATTTAAAATGTCAACGTTTTTTCGAGGATATTGATAGACTACGGTTAAATAGGTTATTTGTATTCATTATAAGATTATCGAAAATACTTAGTCGGGTCATAAGTTCTGTCACAAACTTTTGATGTAATAACTTATACGCCTTTTGACAATTATTTAAAAATTATATATGAAATGAAAGGTCATTAAATGTACAATATAATTTTATTTACATTATTCGAAATGCCCTCCCCCATTTTGAACACATGCCCTTAATCTACGCGGCCAGTCATCGATCGCTGCACGCACCACATTCATATCTATGTCTGCCGCTGCTTTAACCAGAGATGCTCGGAGAGACTCCAAATTCGGGTGAGGTTTAGCACAGACTTTTTCCTCCAAATATTGCCATATCTTGTAGTCCAGTGGGTTTAAATCTGGACTAGAAGAGGGCCAGTCTTCATGCCGGATGAAGTCAATTCCACGAGCGATCAACCAGTCTTGCGTACTTCGTGCCTTATGAGCCGGTGCAGAGTCCTGTTGGAATATCCAATGCCTGTTCCTGAACATTGTCTGAGAAAGAGGTTCCACTATGTTTGTTAGGACAGTATTTTGATAAACTTCGGCACTAGTTCTCACACCTTTTTCACAGAAAAACACCTCAGTTACGCCTGAATATGAGACTCCAAGCCAAACCATGAATGAGGAAGGGTAATGCCCACGCTGGACCCTCGCAATACGCGCGCTTGCTTCTTCACTGCTGTGGGCATACACCTTATCATTTTGTTTGTTAAAACTTTCTTCAATAGTAAAAATTTTTTCATCCGAAAAAAGAATTTCGCGGTATTTTTTTCCCGCGTACCGTCGTAGCAAAGCGCGGGATCTGTCTAGCCTAATTTTTTTTAAACGCTCGTTCAAAAAATGTCCTGTCTTTTTACGATAAGCTCGTAGTCCCAGGTCTTCATTTAGTACTCTTTTAACAGTGGTTCTGCTTAGCCCCATCTGCAGAGCTAGGATTTTTTGTTTACGTACGGGATTTCGTTCGATTCGCGCCTTCACTGCTTTGATGACCTTATGTGTCCGAACTGTGCGAGGTCGGCCGCTTCTCTTACGATCTTCGAAGCTTGACTCTTCGGTGTATCGTTTGATAGTACGATAAACAAACCGTAACGTTATTTTCAAATTTTGAAGAATATTGAAAATGTCTTTTGGCGCGTAACCACAGCGGTGCAACGCGATAACCGCGATTCTGTCTTCTTTATTCGACCACTCCATATTTAAAAATGAATAAAAAATAATTTCTTTTTTATTTTCTACAAGCGCGAAAGTTCTATTTTTAAAATAAGTCGAAGAATTTCTGGCCAGTAATCGAAAATTAAAAATATAAGGTTTTGACAGAACTTATGACCCGACTAAGTATATAGAGCTCGCAGCTAATATTGTTTTTATTGCGAAAATAAATAGCTGTATCTTTTTCACTTAAGCCTTATACTGTTAGCTGCCAAGTATCGAGTCCTCCCTTCTAAAACCTATAGTTGTAGGTTTGGTAGCTACCATTACACCATGGAGTCGTGACGACAGTAAATCGCATCGACCTTCGATTTCCACTCATAAGAGTAAGGGCTCCGATGGAAAAGTAGGTAACGGTTACTTTTAAAATTTTAAAATAAGTAAGTAGTAGAATTTACTCCCTTTTTTCCGACAGCTCTAAAAAGGTCTTACGTTAGTTAAAACATTGTCTACTACTTACTAACCTCTCTAATATAAGGTAGACGCTTTGTTTCGCTTTTTGTTAACTAACCCCTAGAACGGGTTAGAAAGTGTAGTAGCAATGTCAAATCGCTGTAAAGGTAAACGAGCCAGCTTCACCGCAAATTTCCCTTCAGCTTTCCATGGAAACTATTATAGAATCTGCAGAAAATAAACACACGAATAGCTAAGAGCAAAACCGGACTCACCGTTTGCCCCTCCACGCAGTCGAACAAACTTGCGAGTCGGGCGCTCACTACGCCGCGCGCCGCCGCTCAAAGATGGCCGACGCGAAGCATTTTCAACCTCATTTTTCGCAGTCGCGCCTTTTTTCTCGAGTTCAGCTTCTTTTCGCGATTTGAATTTGGAGCTCCCGCGTCTTGTGAACCTGTTTGTGGTGGTTTCTATTTTATCTGTGCTGGTTTCCGTCTCCGTGGTCTCTGGAGGTGCGGTGGCTTTTGTGCGACGAAGGAAATTGCGCTTTGCAGCCTGTGGACAAAATAAACGGTTAGTAAAACTTATTTTTTTACGATTAGATTTTCTAAAATAAAGTTGTGTTGCACACTATTGCCTTGAATGGAATGTTGTTTGTTACAAAACTTTATATTATAAACAACTTAATAATATACGTAAAAGCTTTGTTTGTGTATTCGTAAGGTCGTCACAATATCCTTAAGTGATCATATTATGCAAAGTTTACTTAGTAGTAACTTGGAATTGCGTAATATTTGTTCAAGTGAAGACATTTATAAATTGTGCAAACAGGATAATCTGTATAGAGGCTCATAGCGTTAGAAATATGCCCTAAGATCCTAACAAAACAAATATTTTTGAAAGTAATAACTGCGAATCTGGCGTTTAGCAATTAGCAATTAATGTTGAAATAAACATAAACATTTTTTTCCGACACTAATCGCTAATTTCCACAGTGTCTGTGTTTTTTACGAAATTGGTTATGGTTTATCTGTGACTGCTAAAATTAGCGTTGTTTAAAATCTAATGGCGCGAATCACTTCTAAGGCAAACATTGATTGCGGTTAAGGGTTTATTTCACATAGAAGTTGAAATACGAGGCTGTATGTGGTTTCCTTTGCGGTTGAATGTAGTGATTCGAAAAAAAATGTTTTACATACATAGTTGCCAACTGTTTGTA